CTGTTTGGTCACACAATCTATGCTTTAATCAAGAGTGTTTGGAAACTAAAACCAAAGTATTGCATCGTAAGACGCAATGAAATTTAACGAAAAGTGAATATTTTTAAGGATGGAAATATAATAGCAAATAGCAGTATAATTCGATATTGAGTCCGTTAATATTTATGGTCAAGATATAAAATTCACCTTGCGGACACGGCTATTTGAATTCTCACTTAATAATGAGAGAGCGAGCAACCTTTTGATATTTCTTCTATGCCTTTTAATAGATCTTTTGTTTCTTATCGTGCAAGTTTTCTTCTCTCCTTGAAGTTGAATGTTATCTGTACATGTTGCATACCGCTGTGAAAAACAAGTGGCCCTAGAGTCTTTTTGACTATTCGGTAATGCTGACATTGTTACGTTTGGAACAGCCCTTGGACAAATGCACACGTTATGATCGTATGTCCATGTTGGTGGAAGATTGTAACGCACCGTGTTAAACAAACTATGTTGCAACCTGCAAATATGTTTATAATTTTGAATCAATTTATTGTTCATAGATAACAATTTGACTGCAAATATGCATACATATTTTCGTGTTCACTTTTTGTATATAGTTGAACAATTTTAACTCATAATTGTTGTATTTCTTACTCAGCACTCAAATAGTTTTTTTTATCAACAAAGTAAAGATCATCAATTGCCTACTGTATATGAAAAGTGCGATTAGTTTATGAGAAGTGTATACATGAATGTCAAAAGTTAATGGTGTGAATATGACTTACTCCCATGTCTTGATATATGCATTGTTAACATTTTCGTCATTTTTTCCGTTAAGATTTCCACACAACCCTTCAGTATTCATGACATCAGAGGGAGAGGGATTAATGTACACGTTAAGAAAATCTGACTTGCCATAATGTTTTATTTCAATTTTAACCATCGTACCAGTTGGAAGGTAGATCTAAAATTCGATAAATCAGATAATATCAAATGTATCTCGTAAATATTTTGCTGATAGGATATATTTGAGGCCTTACCTAGAGATAATGGATACTGTGTACACCCATTTTCTCATTTTCGTAACATTTCAACGCCATGTGCAGGGGCGTAGCCAGCTTTTTTTCAACTTGTAGGCACATATAAAAGGGGGTCTGGGGGCTTAGCCCCCAGAAGCCAAACACAAGTTCAGATAAAAAAGAGCAAATTGCGCGTTCAAAAGTATGTTCAAGGAAAATTATCAAAACAATGATTTTAAACTATGAATTTGATAACATGCAAACTTTAGTGAGGATGGGAAATCATGCACACACACACTTTATTCGACTATATGGCTTGAATCCACTACCAACCCCACCCTCGCCTGTTTTTATTGTATTTTTGGAACTTTTGAAAATGTCAATTTCTTGACTTGTAGGCCCGTGCCTACATTGCCTAATAGTAGCTACGCCACTGAATTGTGTATGCAGTATTCATTATCCAAATCGCATTCAACGCGAAATAGCGACGAAAAAAGAAAAGTTGTGTCAAGTATTATTTATGAATTATTTAAACTAGAAGTAAGGACATCTTCTTTGCAAAGGAAATTGAAGATCCTGAAACTCAACTTTTATGGTTTTATATCATATAAATATGATGCTCAAATATAGATTTATCAATATTGTAAGTTTCAAAAAGCATTATTTGAAAAGATATTACCGGAGGTAATTAGAAATTTATTTTCGATAAGGTTTAAGCCAAAATTTTCAATAAGAAATGAATGCATATATTTTAATGATTACTTATAATGCGAAATAAGATTTGCAGTAGATATTTAACATATTGTTTGATGTTTGAAATTGCTTTGAATAATAATTATATACATATATAAAATTTCACATTGTTTTTACATTCTTAATTACAACATAGAGGATGTCTAAGTACCAATCTATTTTGTTTTTTACATGACTTGTTTTTCTTCAAAATACCGGTTGATTAAGTGTTCGAGGTATCAGAATTTTGAGGATGCATGCGCATCCTATCACCCCCTATATAAATGACATAAAGCGATAGTATAGAAAAATCGGTGTACTAAGCATACACAATCTGAAATTTGCAGGAATTATTTATAAGTCTAAAATAGAACCAGAGATCAAAACGAATACATTCATTGTGAATTATTATAAAGCAAGATCCACTGGAAGATGTAAACAAAATATATAATATAAGATCGTATATATTGAATGGTTTTGGAAACAATGAAATGAATTATGAATTAAACTTTGTACACCCATAACATACGGTTTTACATACGATGTAATAAAAATGCGAAAATGATGGGTAATGTTAAACAGATATGATACCTCATATGTTTTGCTATTAATCTCTCTAACATTGAGAACATCTCCACGGCAATGGATGAATGATGCTTGTTTGATTTTATCGCATACACTGATCACAAATACATCACCACCCGCTTGAATTGCGGCCGCACATGTGCACGACGATAATGTCCCATCTGCATCACACTTTTGAGTTTTTATTTGGACTTCAGTAAGATGCGTCTTGTCTTTATACATTAGGTAATGTGCGAATGACCAAATATAACCATAAGAACCATCGAATGTTTGTAAGTTAGGATCATTATAAACACGACAACGTTTGTTTCTCCATTCAAGATTTTGAGTTCCTCCTAAGTAAATTACCTTGAAAGAAAATTAAATTTGTATAATGAGAAATGTATATTATGTACGTAGAAAGGTATGTTTAATGTAGTTTTAACGTACATGCATACTAGTATTGAGATGTCCTACTCACCCCGGCGTTGGCGTTTGAGTCCGTGTCCAGATTTCAGATTCAAGGTTTGGTGCTGTAAAATATTTTTACATCTTAAGGCATCAAATATATGTTCTATATTATCAACCATATCATATGTGACAAAGTTTTGAGCTCTAGCACAATATTTGCAGAATCAGCACCCCATGAACTTAGAGAGGACTTACAGATTTTTCTTTGAAACATATTATTTTCTACTCTAACTTTTTTATTTCTTAAGGTATCTACTTCAGACTTCAAATATATATTTCTTATCATCAACCACATGATATGTAGCAAGATCTTTTACTCTAGCACCAGTATTTTCTAAACGATCTCACTTTTATTATTTTTTTTTAAATTTTAATGTTTCTCCTTTATTTCTTTAGATATCTACTTCAATAATGTTCCTTATCATCATCAACGTGATGTGTGACAATTAAGAGTCATAACTCTAGCACAGATCTTATTCAGAATGATCCCCCTGAACTTAGAATTGATGTTACAAATGTTTTTTCTATTACTCCTGCATTTCTTAAGGTATCTACTTCAAACCTCAAATATGTGTTGCTTTTTATCACACACATTTTGTGTGACAAGATTTATAATTCTAGCATGAATAGTTCAAGAATTATAATCCCTTGAATTTGGATTTTTTATAAACATTATTTTTTGCTCTATCTTCTTTATTTTTTTCAAAAGATTAACTTGAAACTGTCATATATAATATGAAAATAACATTACAAGGTTCTTAAGTGTAGCGTCAATATTTTCCAAATTATCTTCCATTTGACTTAGAATTGTCTTTATTTTTCAGTAACTTCTTTTTCTGCAGGGATTTAATTCAGACTGCAAAAATATGTTAGTTATCAACACCATAAGTGATAAGATTTATAACTTTTGGAATTTATTTGAAAATATGTTATAACTTTTTAAGTATTAATGTTGTTATTATAAATGGTATCTACTCTAGACTACAGACAATTGTTTTTTGTCATTACTCACATTATGCAAGATAACTCTAGCATTATTAAAATATTTCATTTTTGAACTTATAATATTATCTAAAAAAACTGTATATACTTTTAACTCTTTTCATTTTCTTAAGGAAATGACGTCATATTTCAAATTGTTGTATTTCCCATTAGAGAATAGAAATGTCTCTGCAACCTTATTGACATGGTCACATGCATATTACATGCATATGGTGCAAAAATATTGAACATTTGAGTTCTCTCTTGATACTTATACATACATTTGTAAATATATTTGTATCATAATTAATTTGTTTTCTCTATAGTTTCGTTTTCCTTTACTACGTCAAATATTTAATTAGTCGAGCGTCGTTGTCTCCTCTGACAGCTTTTATTTCGCAAAAGTTGTATGATATAAAATCATTAAATCTAGTATATTGGTAACTCATGTATGTATGAAATGCCTGTAAAATTATTTGTCTTCAATTCGAACATTAGCTATAATATTAATTCGTAAGCTTGTTTATAATTGAAAACGAATACAAGTACTTTTAAACTGGTGCCAACTCACGTACAACTTTATAAGGCAGTATCACTCTGTCAAAAAAAATACCTAACTAAATACTGAACTGACATTTTATCCAAAGATGAAGGCACAAAACCAATATTTCTTTAAATGTTTTTCGACAAGTGGACTGGATCCGGTATTAAATGTAGCAAATGTATTATATAATATGTATCGAATTCAAAGAGTGTACTTGCAAACAAAAAAGTATTTCAAGTTACACTTTTTGTTAAATTTACCTACGAAAGGTACAACTCTGTCGCGCAGATTGTAACCATAAACGTGCGAAGGCATGTGTATGAATTTATTCATATTCCTGTTGAAAATATTAATTGAATGTATAATGTCTTTCAAAGGTTATTGTCCACTTATTGACCCTGAGACACGATATTTCTATGAAAGATGAGTCTTCTTAGCAGACTAATCGTTATAGTTTTCTTTACGAATTTCTTTCAGTCCCACATACTAGTGGCAAAGTTTTACACCATGATCGTAGTTTGCACGAATGAAAACCAATATGTAAAGTTATGCACACACAATCAATGACCGTCATACGAACGGGCAGCCACCATATACTAAAACACAACTCCGATGTCATTTTAAATAGGTTTTTATAGCTATATAAAAGGTTTCAAGTCTTAATCTTAATGTAGACTTGACTTACGCATAGTGCATCGATTTGTCTAGTTTTGAAGTTTTGCATTTCATTTTTTTATAAACAACAGACAGACCTGATTATTGCTCTCAAAACAAAATGACATTTTTTTTTATCAGAAAACTTTGTAACAATCAGCTGTAAACCGTCTAAGTCTGGACTTTTGTCATTTTTCATAGTTTGTTATAGTATTTTACAGTTCAGTGATAGATAAGAGTCCTTCTAGACTATTTGATTGTTCTCTTGATAATTTGCATATACCATTTATTGTCAAGAAAATCATTAATAGTTCTATCCCCAATAACATCATCAGCATTTCTATATAAATTTCTATAAAAATGTTCAGTCTCATTTAATATTTATTTTAGGTCATAGATAAATGACCATCTATATTTTGTAGGTATGGAATTATTTTTCTAGCATAATTATATTTTTCTAAATTACAAAAAAATACTTGGTTTCCCCCTAACATCTATCCATTGTGCTCTTGATCTTATCATATGACCCCTTATTTGATCAGTTCTTAAACTTTCCAGTTTTGAATCGAATCAAATATTTTTTTTTATTTTCTTCATCTATTTTTGTTTCTATGTCTTGTATTTTGGAGAGGAGACTATTTTCTTCAGAATTTCTAGAAAAAGAAATGTTTTGCCTCTTCCTTCAATTTCTACAAAAGTTGATCATAAATACTTAATTGTAAATCTTCATAAATGACATTTTTCAAAAAGTCAATATCATACTCAGACAACAAATACTGCAATATTACATCATCTATCTTATCATTAATACATTTGAAATATTATAAATCACATAATAAAGAATTATTAAATTTCCATAAATCTTTTCCATGTACAATATTTTGTAATTCAATTTTAAGGATCTGTAGATCTATAGCTTATATCTATATCACAACCTCTAATATGTGTTAATAAATCTTCAGTTAAAAGGAAAAAAATCTAATCTGGCTTGTTGAATTGGATTTGTGCGTCGCCAAGTAAACTTACTGCAATTACCATTTAATTCCCGAAATGGGTCAGACACCAATGTAATTCAACAATACAGATCTAGAATTGTTGTTATTATTTATATAGAGGATATTGAATGACTGAATTTATTGCACGAGTTGAATAAAATTATATTATGCGAGCCTCTGGCGAGCATAATATTATTTTATTCAACGATTGCAATAAATTCAGCGATGAACTTAAACGAATTTAATATTCTATTTATCACAAACCCAAAATAAAGACCTTTTAAAGTGAAATAAGAGTCATTTTTCATTGACGCGCCTTCTGTATAGTACAACGCTAACATTTAGCGCGTCTTTACACTATGTTTTTATAACGCTAATGACGTCACGTCAAAATATATGCACGGCCGTGCAATACCATATTTACGGAGTCGCAAAATCGGCACGAGTGTGTGATAAAGATTTATATTTATCATAATCTAATTCTATATCTCGTACTAGATTAAAATCACCACACCAGATGAATGTATTATTATCAATATCATCTATAAAGCATAAAACTTTGACTGGTCAGTATTTGGACCATACACATGAATTAATGTAAATTGTTTTGAGTCTAACTAATATAATTTCCATTTTCATCAACAAATGTTTGATGAACATTGAGGTCTAAATTTCGTTTAAATAAAATACCAACTCCTCGAGCTTTTGGTTTATAGAAGCTAAATAAACATACAGCATTCCACTCATTGTATAAATGTTTCTTCATATTTTCGGTAAAATGCAAATCTTGTAAACAAAATATATCTACTTTGTGATATTTTAAAAAGTTAAATGCATCTGATCTATTTTTCGTATCATTAAGGCCTCTACAGTTATAAGGCAATATCTTTTCTTCACTCATTTTCAAAAAGAGAAAACTAAAAAATCATGTACTATAAAAACAGTTCATATACGAGATATTTTTCCATAACTATTTATAACGTTTAGAATATCCAGATATCAAAACAGTTTAAGTGTGATAATGAAATAGGTATATGTAAACAATGTGTTGTCAAGAATAAACAACAAAATGAAATTTATAATAAATCAACTAAAAAAAACCATAAAATATAATTAAACAAATAAATACATGTATAATATAAATTAGAAATGACTGCTAAGAACATATTAATTTGGTATAATACTTAACATTATGATACACGTACTTTTAGAATAACTGCATGCTTAATATACCGATATGTTACATTGTAGCAATGTATTATAACATCGCCACATAAATCAATGTGTCATCAAGCATTTATCTTAATTACATAAAAACATGTTTTAATTTATAACAACAATTGGTTGTAACATATGTATTTGCAGGGTAAGTAATAGTTTACCTAAAATTAGATTAAATTATAAATTATACCCATGTATGGATAAAAATAAACCATAAAGTCAACATATAAAATAGTCATTATTTACACACACATATTATCATAAGATTTTGATGAGATATGTACAATAAAATACATTGGAATTCATAGTGGATGATAAATAAGTTTAAACTAGATAATATTCGGATTACATCCTGAGGGAGTTGCATATCACATCTTACCAAGTGGGTCTCACCATCCCACTGAAAGTAAAACTCCATCCCAATTAAGGCGAAAGATAGGAGTTGACCAGCAACCGACCGACCTAATTAAACAAATAGTTGTTAACAAACGATTTGACCTATTGAGCTGTAGTAATAAATTGAAAGAAAAAAATCTTCGTATTTTGTTATGTAATAAACAATACAGTAACAAAAGCGAATGTTTTATTTTTTGTTTGCTTATGAATTATGATTATTGAATATACAAATACATATTTTATTGCTTTAATCCATTTATTACTTGGATGGTAGGAATCAAGCAATCGATATGAACAGAACAACTTAATTACGGCGATGCAATTAATATATTATTACTACACTAATAAGTTGAGGTTTTTTATTCGCCACAATATTCATTGCAATTAAAAGCATAAATATGAACAGCATACCGTAATGTGATCTAGACTTGCATTTTCCCAAAATATGTGTGGAGAAATATCTGCTGTTTTTAACTGTACTGTAAATGTTTTGTCCTCTGGATATTGAAGTTGATCATTTGACACTGTTATATTTATTGAGAAGGTTGGTAGACTTTGAGTTATTCTATTGTAGTTGCAGTCGTTAACATTATGTTGATGAATACAAGAATGAGAAGTTGTATTCCGCCATCCAGTCAGTCTACTTCCGCACAGTTTTTGGTTATTTAATGATGTCACAGCGGTCTCCTTACACTGAAAATATAACATTCCGTTCACTAGTCATCTATTATTATTGACTGGTGTCTGTAAAAAGTATAAGACGAACATATGAAAGACAGTTAACTAATTGTCAATTGTCGTATTTACAGAATTAAACGCTTAAAAAATCAACACGCAGTGGCTTGATGACCTGAGTTCAAATGCAAGAAATTCTTATATTTTTCCGATGTAAAAGTAGTATTTGGGTTACATCTGGGCGGTGCTTATTCTTAACTTTATGGCTAAGATTAAAGTAACTATAACTTTAGCGATGTTAAACCCGTTGTCATTTCCGAACAAGAACATTAAGATGTGTTTTCCTTTTCCAGTTTATGAAAACTAAGTGACCCCAAGGATGGGACCAATTACATCCCAGGGGTATTGCTTACAAGCATATGCTACACAATGTAATAGTCATTATTGTAGTTTCTTTGTAGAAAGTTTAGTTTCCTCTAAAATTTAATGTAACAAAAGACTTTCCAAGGCGGGCATTTTCCATACAACTATTGTAGTTTTCTTCAATGTCATGCTACATGTCTCATATCTAACTTATATCATGTAGATTCACAAATGACATAAGAACATTTAAATTTGTTTACTTTACATCTAAAACGTTATATTTGAATATGACCCCTATGATGGGCCCAATGGTTATGTTTCATGTAATTTAGAATATCAAATAAGTAAGAGAATAGCAATGAAATTTCTAAGTAGACGACTCTTGAAGTTTTCCTTAAAATGTAAATGTAAATATATGACACCAAAGCGGATCTATATTAACCCTGAAGCCACAATTATGTTTCCTATATCTGTCAGAATGAAAAGTTACTTAGAACAGGGCCATTTTCTATTGTAGAGTATTCATATTTGTAGAACGTACAAAAACAAAGTTGAACAAGGAAAATCGGCAATCAGTGAACGCAGCACCAACAAAGTCAAGCAACACAGAACCACCGACAACGAATATATCGATACGGAAGACTACTATGCAATGCAATGTATGCCAAATGGCATAGATCTAAGCTTTAAAGTGTCAATCAGATAGATGTGTTTCATGCATTACGTAGAGGAAAAGAAATCCCCTAAGAACGTCCTGAACGCCAAAACGAAAATGTTGCAGGCTCGGTTTGATGGGGTCTGTTCATGTTATTGGTGTTCGTATGGTGCGGCCAATTTTGATCTAGAGACATGATTTAAATATTTATGTAACTTATTTAACTTCTATATAACTAACCAAAGGGTTATTGTATATTTCGCAAAATACCTAAGCTTTATCCCGAGCTCAGGTCAATGATTACAAACCATTTGCCCCTCATCGATATGGGTTTGAATCCTACCAAGGAAATCGGATTTTATGTCATGAGAGGAAGCTATCAAGCTCGGTAACGGAACATCTGTTGGTTCTACTTAGATGCCATTCGTGACGTTCCAGTAGCAAAGCTGGCGTGTCACCATGTAACATATACAGAGATTTGATGTGACCAAAAAGCCATCCAAAAAGCAACAAAAAACAACATCAACAACAAGAAAAATATGCATAATACTCTCTGAAGAAGAAATTTTAGTAGTATATTTAAATTGTAAAGGCGTAATATTATATGAAATCAAAAATGTTAAAAATAGAACTATTACCGTATATTTTGAATTCGGGTCAAACATTTCAATATCGATGTCACACTGTTCCTGTCGGTCAGCTGGTAAAGCAAATGGCCTTCGGCATCCAAAAGGAATAGTCGGTTGTAGTACAATATGTTCCTGCGATCCACTATTTAACCTAATTTGAGGTGTAAGTACCTAAATGATTAGGAGAAGACAAATATTTAAAGAATATAAAATCAAACTTTTAAGCTTTCGAAAAACCTGGAAAGGTAAGATATAAATGACGAAGGTTTTTTTTGTGTGCTTAAAATCACAGCTCAAATTTTGTAATGCATTCGGATTTTTGTTTTGTTTTATTTTGTAGTCTCCTCTAATCAGGTTACATTGAAATTGGATTTTGGAAACTATCAATACACCTGGACAGCGTTCGGCATTACAATGTAAATTACAAACACAAATTCGTTTACTGTTTTACTGATGTATAACAAAAAAGATACAAACAAATTTAATAGTTCTGTAAACAATATTAGTAACATTTAGAAAAGTATTAACAGGTTAAAACATTAAAGAAATTAAAATTTAAATGTGAGTATCATTTATGTACAAAATATAATGTTAAAGGACTATTTGAACTTTCAAGTACTTTATGTAATTATTTTACTGTTTTGCGATCTATAGCCTTTTAGAGAGTATTGTGATTGCAAGTTTCTGACCGTTCATAAATTACTTGCATATATGATATGTTTATTTCGCATGAATGTGTAAAACAGTTACATTGGTTCAACAGAAAGTGTTTTCCATATATACATATTCTGAGTATGATATATTTTATTACATAAAATGACATTGATGAAAACAGCTGAGGAAACTAAAACACCATGGGTTACTTTAAGTTGTTACCAGATAACTTAAAACTAGTGCTTATTGTTTAGTCATGAATAAAGCAATATTGATCAACATATGAATGTTAATTTATCTTATATATTAACTATTTTTAACATATCAACGAAATATATTTCACCTTTACACCAGCATAGAATGTATCACTCATTTGTGGATCTGTCTGATTACCGGTAGGTGTACTTGATACTCTTACTGCACATTGGATCTGATAATTTATGAAAAACAAATGATTTGGTTAATTCAATTAATACATTACTAAACACAAATTTATATACAAATATTCGTTACATACAATGTTTTTCAGTAATAATTGGTAAGTGACGATAAAATAAATCTTTAACGCAATATATAAACATATCGGACAAAATAAAGACAACATTTTGTCAATCGGCAATAATTGAGACTAAAATCTGCCTACAACAGGAGTAGCAATAACCTTAATTGGTACAGTAAACTTCACTTATAGCGAACACGGTTATATCGAACTTTTAACAATTTATTTTGGCCCGAATTTTGCTCTTTCTTTATTTAATATAAGAATATACGGTTATAGCGAACACGGTTATAAGGAATTTTCGCGTATAAGGAACTCATTTCTTAGTCCCAATTTAGTTAAAAGTACAGAAAATTACACTTTTATAACGAACTCCAAAATATCGGCTATCCGTAAATAGATCCCGCATTTTCAACTTTCGTTTTCATTGGCACTTGTTCCGATGTACCGTTTATTGTACTTGAAGACACATATTAAAATGAATTTGAAGAGCAGTACGTAATAGCATAATACATTAAAAACAACAAAGTACGCTTGATTTAAATGAATAAGAAATCTATATCTTTCACTAGTAAAAGTCACCCTTAAAATATAATAGAAGATATTCAATATAAAAGGAAAGAAAAATCGAAAATCATGGTTATTCTTAATCATGGAAAGAAAACGAAAAGTACTGAGTTTAGAAACAAAAAAGGGAGTAAAATTAAAAATGAAATAGCAAAGGATTTTCAAATTCCAAAAAGTACGCTCTCGGGTATTGTGTCTAAAATAGAAATAAACGACTAATTTTTCTTAATCAAATGCTCTTCAAAATGGCGGACGTTGGTAAACAAACAGTTCGTTATATGTAAATCTGTTCGCTATAAAAACTCCTGATACAAGGAACTAATTCGCTATATGCTTACAAGGAACTCCGGATATAAGGAACAGATTTTGAATGTCCCAATGTGTTCCTTTTAAGCGGAGTTTACTGTACATGTACTATTGTAAGGTGAATTGTGATCGCGATCAGGTATCAAAGCTGCATCATAAAAATGTATTTAATTAACGATATTTTTATTTGAAACAAGTAACATGTTATATATTTATTTCAGAAGAAGTGAACGTTATTCCTGATTTTAACATTTTATCTATCGAAAGAACCGGTAGTATTGGTGCTGAAACAAGGAAAGAAAAGTCTAAAAAAATGGTAACGCCGGCTTCATTAGTCTAGAGGGCGAAACATTCGATCGATTAGAAAAACATTTTATATCACATATATTTCTAAATTTATAACATGTATTTAAGTCATGAAGCAACAAAACGATTATTCAACTAATCTTAATACCGGTCGTTGTGGTTTAAAAAGAAAAGTTTGTTTTTAGGTCTAAATCACGACTCATGTACATATTTTAAGCACATGCATTCATTACGAATTTCCGTACGCATTTAATTGCTTTTTATTTTAGAAATTGGTATTTTGATTACAATGTATCGGACTATCTAAATAATTTGATCCACCTGATCTCCCCTCTCAAATAATACTTACAGTAACTCCAAACTTGAAGCCTAGTGTTCGAAGAGTTGTCTCGTTAAGGTTTGTAGCATCTGCATCATTTAGTTTTACTGGCGCAAATGTCTTCTCTATTCGTCCGTTTATAACCCTTGAAAATTACAAAAAAGGTTCGTTGCAGAAATAACTTGATAGCGTTTATCAAAAGGTACAGCAGCAAAAATGTATTAATAACAAATTTCAACACATAAAGTATTTAAACGAAGCGTACCAACTAAAATATGCCACGGATATCCTATAAATTGCATGTTCCTGTCGTCAGATATATTTTATCAATGAAAATGCAAAATTTACATAACTGTATCGATATCTTTGTTGTTTGTTTGTTTGTTTGGTTTTAACAATTATTTCTTCTACGTCTTTTACATTGAATTTTCTTTATTTTCGAATATCAGTGTCCTGAACATTTCAGCAGTCCTATCGTATTTTTGCTGTTAAAACTTACATAATTATCTATCTACATTTAGTCTCAAATTTCATGACTATCACAAAATTATACATTGTCCAGCAAGATTACTGGTATGGAGAACAATGTTGGTTTGGTTTATAAATATATGTATTTATTTTGATTTCTTGTGTCAATGTTATAATCCTATCATTATTAAATTCTATCACCTTTAGTAATTTTGGACATTATATAATTGTTATGCCCCCGCAATGATGATGGCAAGGGGTATATAGTGTGCCCCCGCCCCTGTCCACCAGTCTTTGCGAATCTGTGTGCGTGCGTGTATTCGAAAAACTTTTCAGGCATATAACTCTAATTAGCTTTGGCACAAATGTTACTTTTCAACTTTTATCCTCCATTTACAAACTAAACTGGAAAATTTGTGATCTATCACTAAGCTTTTTAAATATCTCGAAAATGTCCTTTTACTGTTAAAGGTCTTTTACTGCAGAAAAAAATTATGAAATACCAATAAAGCTGTCCTGTTTAAGATCTTTATTCATATCATTTGGTGTCCGATCATATATAGCGGGAAAATCCGTGTCTTTCGGGCATATTTCCAGTTTCTCTATTTATATTAAAATAGAAATAAAGTTATGTCTTTACCAGCTAACTCCATAGTAATATAATTCGCTTGCCCATCCGAATTACATTTAAAATCAAGTTCGGGTTCTGAAGTGAGATTTGTATGTCTGTACATCAGTGCCACGCTAACTTGTATACTACCAGAGATCTTGTAATTTGGTGCAGGCGCTACAACTAAAACATATAGCAGTATTAAACAAATTGTATGGGTCTGGCATCGCTTAAAGGAACTTAAAGTCAAATTACAATAAATATGGATTGCTATATATGACTAAAACAATAAGATTGCTGGATATTTGAATACTGATTAAATAAAACAACTCCGTTTCTTAATATTAACTTATAAAACTTTTATTTAATGTTATATTTTTATATTTGATCATTCTGATAAGTAAATATTTACTCACCTGTCATAGAAGAAGGTTCTGTGAAAATATAATGTAATGCATATGATAAGCTGCTAAAACGGTTTAATTTAATTATTTGTTAAAAGTTCGCTACATTAACAGAAGATGTATTTTGTTTTTATTACTGCATGTAACACAAAATTTCTGGATGCTGAATGCTAAAGGAATCAATGAAAGAAGATTTTATGTAACAGATTTTCTTTTCAATTTCAGTATTAACAACAGGCTTTAACATATAAATAAGTTCGTCGACAAATGTTTACAAATGTTGTCAAATTATTTGCAAATAATCCCATACCGAAACAGTATGCGCTTGTCCCATCAGTTGGAATTAGATAATACTGAATTTCTCGTCCGCATTTACGAACTTTGATATCATAACGATATTTACAACTGCTGTCAAAGTCTACTAGGCATGCAATGAGAGGATATTCTTTGCCCTCTTCCAGCTTTCCAAGCTTGTCTATATTAATAGAGATAAAAATATTAAGACATTTTTAGAAGACAGTAAATAGTGCTAATTGTGTTAAACAGTACTTGCAAGCGCACGAACTTTTTTCTTTAATACTTCACCATTCTTCATTTTAAAATCAATTAAAATGATCAGGTTTTTACATTCATGTAGTATATTTAATTATCAGACAAAATCAATAGATAAGGTGTTTGCAAAAAGATAACATTTTGCTTAGACTATAAAATGCTGATACAGTACCTTTGATATATATCGGATTATATGTCCCACAATGCGCATACTCTGGTGCTGTTCCGTTAACCAGCGTGTAGAATCGGACACTGTCCTTAGCAATGTACCATCCTGCTGGTACTGTAGAGTCAGATATGGTAGGCTCAGCAGATGATTTTATAACATACGAAGGTCCTCTTCTACTGACATCTATGAGCTCACCAACCTGTCCTCTACAAGAAGTAGCAGAAGAATATTCACAAAAACCTGAAAAAAGCAGAAGCAAAAGTAACAAAAGTAGACTTTTTATGTATTATCAAACTATTTATTTTAAAAAAATGAACCGTTTTTAAACTTAATTTTCAACAAAGCTTTAACAGATTTTGTAGTGCATTGTATTTGATATTATTCAAATTTATGTTGTGCATTTCCTGTTCTAGTGTCTGTTTAAAACTAGTTTGAATGTGCTAAAATGTTTACTTACGCATCAATCCACAGAATATCTCACACGCTGACGTCATTGACATTTTGTTTAAGTATAACATAAAGCATTTTCCTTAAGTGTACTCCACATTTCATAATACCATACGTAATTGAACGTTTTTACTGGTTTATTACAGTACATCTATTTTCCCTACATATTTTAACTTCAGATTTTGGACGCGTATCTCCATGCGCTGTGTCATTAATCCAGTAATGAAAAATGGCTTTGTTTATCTTGACAAAATATTTTTCTTTCACATAACAAGGTGTAATTCTGTACTTATGGTGTATAAAGCTCTGAATAAATTATCAGCAGCATGTATCTGATCTAATTCTGTTATCTCAGAATAAGACATACATACTTAGATCAACAAGGAAAAATTCTTTAGAAATAAGAAATTCAACCTAATTATTGTTAAAATTACATTTTAAACGATATTGATTAACAAATGATAATTTGTAAACAATTTACTAGGTAATATAATATATATGTCTGTCCCTTTTAATTGTTATGATTTCTATTATTACTCTTCATATATATTTTTTTTTCATTTTGTGATAATTTGAAGGCCTTGTTTAAAATATAATATTTTTATACTTTGATGTATTGATTAGAAAATATTTATTCATTACATCCATAGTTTATAATAATAATAATAATAATAATAATAATAATAATAATTACTATTATCATTATTATTAATATAATTATTATTATTATTATAACTTAAGCAAATTTAATAACAACATTTCATAGCACATATTATTTGTTATAGATCTATATACTTAATGACACTTACTAAATCAACAAATATTTCGATCGTTTGTATTCAAATATATGTTAGTTCTCAAAACTAACAGAGATCCTACGGCATATCCGTCTTCAATATATGATATGAATGGCGAGCAAAAAATATTTTAAAATTTCTGCAGAAAATAAATGCTTTGCTCAAATGACAAAAAATCATTTTAAGCTAATTGGAAAATAATAAAATTATGCTTACCTATTAAAAGTAATATCGTGGCCTCAAAAAGCAACATTGTTGTTTCACTTCATAGCGTTCTTAAAATTTTGAAAAGAAAATTGTTATGGTTGAGCTATACCGTTTTTTATAATATTTCTATAATCTCGTATTATTAATATATGTTCAAAGCTGAATTAACTCTTTTTTTAAAGAATGCTTTATAGGATGTAGGGACTGTCCTTTTTATATGCTTTGAATAGCATTTATCAATTACGGGAGAACCCCTATAAGATAACAAAGTTAGGGAACTTCCTGTTAAATAGTATAAGCATTCCTTATTAGATGTGCATAGACAAATGTATGCTTTAAATTGTTTGCGTAGTACTTAATAAATAAAAGGAAATCCATAGTAATAAGTACGAGCTATGTAATGTGTGTTGCATTACGGGATTTTATTCGGACAAAGTAAAAAGTTATTTGAACCGCGCAATCATTTTAAGGGCATATTTTGTAAGGAGAGGGTTTTCATTTCACAAACACTATATTAAAGATGACATTTCATTTTAGTTCTATTTTAAATCGATGTATATGAAGAACTGTCTTAGTCACCTTTTGTTCGAGTCAAAATTAATTTTGAAGTTTTTGTATTATAATAATTTTTAAGGGAATAAAATAACAAGACAAAAAAGTAAGAAGTCTCTTAATAAAAGAGATACACGACGGAAGTAAATTTGGTTAACACATATGTTAGTTCTTATTTTTTCATGCACAATCATATAAAAATGTTAGCATAGCTTGCATAACAATGACATAATAATTTCTTGAAGGGTTATTAATCTTTGAAAAATGGCACACTTTAAGATATATGTGTTTCTAAACGGCCTGTCGTGTTTCAGAAAGCGAACTCAATTTTTAACACCAACATCTACGCAGTCGGTAGGCAATCATTTTTTTCTTATAAATACTTGATTAAAATGCAAAAATATATGAAAATTATAAACATATTTGCAAATAACAGATCGATAATCATATAATATATTAGAAACTTATTGAACATCGTCAACTAAAGGTGCCTGATAAGGTCTGATATTATTCTCGTTATTTTTGGACAAAAGTTTAAACTCCGATCTTGTGTAAAATAAACTCAGTAAGTTCTTTCGTAAAATAAACTGTTCAATAGAAAATGTAATAAGATATGAATGCAACAAGTATTTTTAAACATAACTTAAATATCGGAGCAATTTAACTAGAAAGATAAAGAATTATCCTGTACATTTTATTTTACATTTTATTTTATAATGGCACGAACTATCCATTTTAGTTTAGAACTACCTTAGAATGACAAGAACTATCTTTTACATTTTATTCAAGAATGGCCTATGAGATTCTCAGATTTCATTTTGTAATTCTAAAAGCACCTATGAACACTCTTCTTATATTCCGTTCGTCCTTTTACAGGAAGTAAAACCGATTTTAGACCGGCTTAAACCAGATAAAGATGTTTATTCTTAGTCAACGCCTACATCGCATATGACAATGTTCATACTTCTGTAACCATCGTATATGAAAATGTTAATACTTCTGTCACCTATATTTTATTTTTTATCTTCCATTTTAACAACTTTTCCTTTAAAGTTTTTACCCTATCTTGATAGCTTTTTAATTGATGACAATGTTTGTTTTAGAAAGTTTAGATTTCAAATGTTTGTTAAATTCATATCTTTAGCAATATCATGTATGGTGTCTCTACTAAAAAAACGACAACGACCACGTACATTATCTTCTTTACACTGATCAAACGTTTGGCAATACATGCTTTACGGATTGTTTACGGTACCCCATATCTTATTTTGTTACACTTTCGTGTTGGTTTTAAACAGTGAAACAGGCTTTCGTCACATATAACTATCAGAAAATCTTATTATAATTTAAACTTTTTGTTGCACACTTTCTACAGTCATTCTGCAGTCGTTCTGCAGTCATTCTTGTGGGGAACCCATTTAGATGTTTCAGAATAGTGTTGTAGACCGTTTTGTAATCCATACGATTTTGACTGTTTTGACTATATATAATCTGGTATAACTTTAATTTACGACTGTTTTCTCTTCGTAACAGGTTATCTTTTTTTGCTGCTGTATTTGCGTTCAATTGACTAGTGTTCATTTTTGTATTAATGTATTAACTTTGTAACAGTTGTACGATACCCTTAACGATCTCAATGAAAAATAAAATAGCAGATTTCCAAACATTATTTCAGCACTTACCATTCATTATCTTAGTTCAGTTGCACATATAGTCTTGTTTAAGATGACATTGAATAGAGTATGCGTTGAAACAAAGCATCATATACATATGCACGGATTTCATGGATTATGAGATAACAGTTATGCGTTAAAATGTAAAAACGGTTTCACATTTAGTGTTTAAGTATAGGGGCATGTCAACAGATAGAGAAATCAAGGTTGTTTGTCGTGACAGCTTACGGTTTCATACACCACCAGTAGGGTGGAGACTGTTTAGTGCCAGTTAAATTTATAAAAATAGAGTGAAATAGAATCCCTACAGAAAGTTCAAAACGACAAAATTAAAAAATGTTGCAGGCTCGCGTTGACTAAGCCTGTTCATACGACGGTTATCATCGACCTTTCAATGTCACACTTTAGTGCCATTCCATGAAAAGCGGCAACAGTGTTCAGGTAATATGTAAGCTTTCAAGCTTTACTGGTAGAGACAGGGAGGTCTTCATTTAAAATGAAATCATGGCCTTTTGCAAGACCATCCTTTTTTGTCAGTTTGAAAGACACCACAATATTTATCCTCAAAGGCAAACAAAATCATCAGGATTAAAATAAATTTAATGAATATTTTATATCAAGACTAACTTTTCCTTTTTGGAACTTAAAGTTTATATGAAAATTGTTATCTTATCTAACATCAGGGTATAACGTAAACTTCAGAAATTTTTCCCGCATCATCGCCAGCATGATTATGATCATATGTCATATTATATGTCACCTATATTCCAAACATATTATTCCAATTTATCAGCCTTTATATTGTGTTCATCCCCATGTTTCGTTTAAACATGAACCGAAAGTGATTAGTCTTTGCCATCAAAATAGAGCCAGGCCAGACCAACATTCAGGTTTCATACGAGGGGTTTTCAAAATATGAATGCAACTAGGCCAATATCTAGATTTCTAACCACGTTTTGCACGAACAATGTACATGTATCGCATAGATGGTTGTGTAAGCTCTCAAGTGATACAATACACGTGTAAATCAGTTCAGTCTAGCTTTGACATTAGCTCGATTAACACTATCTAATCGTGTAAACTAAAGCTTAAAGGTTGGGAAAATGTCTCCTCTCACTGACCAAATACGGTCATATATCCAGAACCGCTGTATTTTTGGTACCGTACACAGAAAAAAAGAAATATGTCGTAGTTATGGGAATAATGCACTTTCTTTTTCATCTGTTATACGATGGTGTAAAAAATTTAAAAGTGGTGTGGATTCAGAAAAAGATGCGCCTCATGCACGCCGTCCGATCTTTCGCAAATATCATCATTTGCGATGAGACGTAGAATCACTTTTATGAGCCCAAGCCAAAGATAAATAAAAAACAACAAATACCAAAAAAAACCTGTAGTAATCTAATGATTTATGTAATCTTTAGTACATGCTTAAGGTTTCATTGTTTACCTTAATGTGCTCTGATTATGATTACCTGTATCATGTTTAAACAAAAGGGGAATACATAGAGGATATTTGTTTGTTTGTGTGTAAGATGAAATTTTATTTCATCGAGTGAGCTTAAAAAAAACTGTTTTTAAAGTTCACGAGATGAAATAAAATTACATCTTACACAACAAACAAACAAAGTTTCTTTTTATTTTATGATCTATCTATCTATCTATCTATCTATCTATCTATCCATCCATCCATCCATCCATCCATCCATCCATCCATCCATCCATCCATCCATCCATCCATCCATCCATCCATCCATCCATCCATCCATCCATCCATCCATCCATCCATCCATCCATCCATCCATCCATCCATCCATCCATCCATCCATCCATCCATCCATCCATCCATCCATCCATCCATCCATCCATCCATCCATCCATCCATCCATCCATCCATCCATCCATCCATCCATCCATCCATCCATCCATCCATCCATCCATCCATCCATCCATCCATCCATCCATCCATCCATCCATCCATCCATCATCTATCTAGTTGATTTCTAATGTTTCAGTAATTAAGAATACTTCATCATTCATAATCGCATTCTCAATTCCGCATTTAATAATTAGTAGAAAATATTGCTTATATTCACCTTTTTAATACTCCTAGACACGCATTTACATCGATATATATCCACTTACTTTTCGTAAATTAACTTTTTAACATTTTCATTATATGTTAAGTATTATATTATTATTATTACTTTTTTCCCTTACTATTTTAATTTAATTGACAACCGAAGAAATCTCTTCAAATTTTATATTCTTATCACTCACATTGCGTTTTGTAAATATAGTTTATAATTAGCAATGATAATAAATATAAAACAAATAACAGTACTGATTTCTGCTTGAGCCGGTGCTATGGTGTGATGTCGGTAACTTGCATTTGCCACTGACAGGTATTTTCCAGAATCAAAAGGATATATGAGATATGTGATAAAAACTGTCGAAAGAGTATGCAGCAATAGCAACAATGAATTTTGCATGGAGACATTTAAATATTTAAAAGGAAATATTCATATTTTTATAAGAGGCCCTCCGAGTACACTGCTAGGGAAGCTAGGTTGTGTCGGTCAAGGGCTGCATTCTATGAATGTCACACTACTCGTTGATCTTTGTTCACATATGATCGGAGCGAGTGCATTTCATTTTGAAAAAGGATCATGTAAATGGAATTTGAGCATAAACCACCTGAAGTTCAGAGGAGCTTCGTAATGTCACATACATATATATATACATGTAATTGAAATATGAGCATTTTGCAAAAAGGACGTTAGTTTTCATCGCTATTTCTTTTCATAACTTTCATACTAGCCTAGGCATTTGACCCAAACATTAGACCCAACCTAAAATAAATTATTTCAGAACAGCTTGTCAAGAATAGCATTTATGTTCCTCGCGACCAAAACTATGATATATTCAATATTTTGCATTTACTACCGCGTTTTTTTCCAGTAACGAAACTTATAACTTGTATTTTGTGTTGGTTTCTGTTGATACAAACTTACCTGTAAGACTAGATAAGAGTAAGGATTCATTCAAATTTGCTCAGGTGTATAAACAATACATGTACAACTTAATAATTAGATGTGTAAGTTCCTTTGTTGCAAGTTTACGACTCCTATCAATGTAATTATATAGAATTGTTGCTTTTGTTGTTAAAAATCTCTCCAAATAATGCTTCATTTCCGATAACAACTCTGAAACCGCACACCAATATCATATCTTTATTTACATTGTGAACATATCGGGACATTAAATAATATAACAAAACCACTTCTGAAAGTAAAGATTTATTCAGTTATTCCAGCGATATAAAGTATAAGCAATGTATAGACATGATTGGCATATATAGAAAGACACACAGAAAATTATTCATAGATAGTATTTGAAAAAAAGATTATTAAAACGTAAAGGTAAACAGACAAAAGTGATGATTTTCTTAAAGATAAAGGTAATACAAACTGATGTATAATTATTATTTGTCTCTTTTCTTTTTCTTCATTACTAAAACTTGCTGATTTTACTGATAAATTAAATTTTGTTTAGTTTTCTAAACTTTTTATAAATCCTGAGTGAACATATAATGCATATAATCTTATGAATAAACGTTATGAAAAGATACTGTTATACATGAAAACAAAAAAGAGTAATACAATATGGTTAAATAAAAACGCCAGTTATTAAGAGAAGGAAAGATAGACAGAGAGATATAATGTTGCTACATTGGTGTATCACACATATCATTACGTACATTTGTAGCGTGTATCGAGCGGCCAATGATTATTTAATTTATTGCTACAAAATAAAATCACAATATTCTTCTACCTATCTTTCATTCCCCTACTTTTACATTTCAACAATCTCTTATCCTACATTCATTTCTAAAGATACAATAATTCACACATTGATAACAAATACATGTAGTTCCTCAATAATCATTTGCCTTATAAATATATAGCATCCTTAGTACCAGATATCCGAGATTTCTGTGTACTAGTAACTATAGATATAAGCTTTAACTTCAACCAAAATATTTCTAATCAACCGTTTGCCCGAGAGGTCTTACTGAAACAATAGAACATTTCAGTAACAGAAATCTGAGATTCTGTGACATCAAAATGCTACTATCATTACGATCCGACTCTTACAAGGACATAACCAAACATATTTCAAATATTTATTTCCCTAAATTACTTAAACTAAACAATTACTCAGAGATTTGACAGATATAGTAAAACGTCCTTAGTGCCAGATATCTGCGATTTCTGTACACTAGTATGTATTTACTACATCGTTCCCTTCTATATACATACATATTCAAACCAACTTAAAATGCTCATTTCTCAAACTTTCTTCAATCGAACGTTTGTCCATGAGGTTTCACAGAAGCAGCAAGATATTTTTAGCACCAGATATCTAAGATGCATTGGTACTAGTAAATATATTTTTTTTTCTTTTTCATACTTGTAAATGTAACACTGCTCTGATCTGCCTCACGGACGAAACCAAACTGACTCCTTTGCGCTGCGCTTGCTGTATTTATACTAGTGAGTGAACCATCTCCGCAGTGAATGAAAACAATGATTTTGATTGGCTAATAAAAATAAAACGTTTCTTGATACTGATTCTAACAAAATCTTATAAGCGTCTGTTACTTAAATTTATTTCTCCTATGAACTACTGTGAACAATAGATAAACAATTTCAAATATAAACACTTTGAAGGATACCATAAAGTTATACTGATTTTAACGTAAAGATAATTAAAATACCTACTCTTTATACCATGATATATTTACAAAAATACATGATTATATTTTTCCAATACAAATGGCGAACTTATAGAAAGGGGAGGCAATAAAGTTACCCATAAAGTACGTTTCCGTAACATTACCCGCGCCTCCGACTTCATGCGCCCCGCATGTTTCTGATTAAATATCTTTACCTATACATGATTAAAATGGTATGAAATCTAGCTTTAACTTGGTTAAGCAAAAATACATTTCAGAATTTACAAAACAAATTACATAAAAAACATGCTTATGCAATCACAAACAAAATATCAACCTAACTTTTCTTTAATGCTTTAAAACAAATATTCCAAAAATTACACAAACTTTATTCATTGCTTTTACATATAGACCCACATCAAAAGTGTAACTAATTTTCTATTATAAAATTATATATCTAACAAATATTTCTGGTTCCTGTCTTGAAATTTTAAAACATGGTTTAAATTACAAATATGTTCGACATAGTCTCTTCTTTTGTTTCTCTTTCGAAATAACCTATACTCAGCCATAGTCTTTTTCTGAATCCAATAAATACAAATTTAAAACAAACGTAGGTAAGTGATAAAGGTTTATTTATCAAAACTCCATTTGAAATCTATCAAATAAGATATATCCCACCGCTGCAACCAATTTTGTAGCGTGTATCGAGCGGCCAATGATTATTTAATTTATTGCTACAAAATAAAATCACAATATTCTTAATAATCTTTATATTCTTAAATGCAAATACATGTATTTTTTCTCGGGATACTTATCCTTATGATTGGAAAATAACTTAAAAAAACATCATTCATTGCAAAATAACAATCTTAATCTATTTCTAAAATCATTCAAAAATATATATTCAAAGACACAATTTATTTTTCTCAAAAACAATTCTCAGACAAATACCAGTCGAAAGCTAAACCTATCTTTCATTCCCCTACTTTTATATTTCAACAATCTCTTATCCTACATTCCTTTCTAAAGATACAATAATTCACACATTGACAACAAATAGTTCCTCAATAATCATTTGCCTTATAAATACATGAAATATATAGCATCCTTAGTACCAGATATCCGAGATTTCTGTGTACTAGTAACTATATATATATAAGCTTTAACTTCAACCAAAATATTTTTAACCAACCGTTTGCCCGAGAGGTCTTACTGAAACAATAGAACATTTCAGTAACAGAAATCTGAGATTCTGTGTACATGAAAATGCTACTATCATTACGATCCGACTCTTACAAGGACATAACCAAACATATTTCAAATATCTATTTCCCTAAAATACTTAAACTAAACAATTACTCAGAGATTTGACAGATATAGTTAAACGTCCTTAGTGCCAGATATCTGCGATTTCTGTACACTAGTATGTATTTACTACGTCGTTCCATTCTATACACATACATATTTAAACCAACTTAAAATACCCATTTCTCAAACTTTCTTCAATCGAACGTTTGTCCATGAGGTTTCACAGAAGCAGCAAGATATTTTTAGCACCAGATATCTAAGATGCATTGATACTAGTAAATATAACACTGCTCTGATCTGCCTCACGGACGAAACCAAACTGACTCCTTTGCGCTGCGCTGTTAGAATCAGTATCAAGAAACGTTTTATTTTTATTAGCCAATCAAAATCATTGTTTTCATTCACTGCGGAGATGGTTCACTCACTAGTATAATTACAGCTGCTGTAATTATACTAGTGAGTGAACCATCTCCGCAGTGAATGAAAACAATGATTTTGATTGGCTAATAAAAATAAAACGTTTCTTGATACTGATTCTAACAAAATCTTATAAGCGTCTGTTACTTAAAGTTATTTCTCTTATGAACTACTGTGAACAATAGATAAACAATTTCAAATATAAACACTTTGAAGGATACCATAACGTTAAACTGATTTTAACGTAAAGATGATTAAAATACCTACTCTTTATACCATGATATATTTACAAATACAGGATTATATTTTTCCAATACAAATGGCCAACTTATAGAAAGGGGAGGCAATAAAGTTACCCATAAAGTACGTTTCCGTCACACATTTTACTAAAGCATGACTCTACTAATTCATTGCCTCACACAAAAGTGTCACTTACATCAAAGAAATGCTTTTAGAAACATAGAAAATGAAGAAATGTGACCTTTAAATAAAACGTTCTACGAAGAAATAAACAAAAATAGACCTATATATATATATTTTTTAATTAGAGGCTTAATATATGAATTTATTTTAAAAGTAAGGATTAGTTATAAGTCATATGAAATGATTAACACCATCATTATATCAGTAAAATGCATTTGACGTTAAATTCCCTATTATGTGTTTTGTTCGTATTTTCTCGTATTAGTATCATATTTTCTTTGCTGACCATAATCGGTAGTGAAGACGTTTGGATGTCCAGGTTGAAATGTTTTTCCTCCGCTTTTGAATTTCTTATTGTAAGGTTGGTTGCTGAAGTCCAAATCGGTATAACCAGAATAATTCGGAGGTTCCTCAGCTGTTGTAGACACAGTCCTGCAATAATGACACCCAAACGATTTTAACGATTTTGTCTAATGACATTGCTGTAAATAACTTTCTTCTCTATGATTTTGTTACTTTTTTGTGGAAATTCTCTAAATAAAGCGCATGCTGAAATCAGTACACGGTCTTGACAGGGTGCTTTCATTGATCTTGTTAAACCACTAAATTCAGCAAATGATTACTGGACTAAACATGAGACTAATAGAGTATTATTTATATGCGTATTAACCTCAAATGATAATCCCAGACATCTTAGAGACTTCCTTCCTGTAAAACTCATATACAAATATTCATTAAATTAGTTATAAGCAACACCTACAAATATATGATAAAGTATTACTAGTAAAATAATGAAATAGACGAAGTTGACATTGATATTATATGTATAATATGTTATTCTTCCTTGTAAGCTTTGTTAAATTAGAAACATATGGCAATATTATGTAAACAATTACAACTTGCCAAAGAAAGACAAAAACTGTCAGTGCCTTTGTTTGTCAAAGAAAAAAAAACATGTACTGTATATTTTTTGTATTGCATAAACCGTCTTATCCTCAAAAATGTGTTGTGCATGGACACAGATGTTGGGTCGTAGGATTCAGGCTTGAGTAGAATGTAAACAGGCGTCGTAAGTACAAACAAAGTGACTAAAGATTCCTATTTACACAATCTATAGAATTATTAAAACACGCCACACTCAGCAAAAGCTTGAAATTAATGTACAAAGCGTAAAACTAATTGTTAATAACTTTGCAATTACTAAAACATCAATATAATTTCTTAAATTTGATAGTCTTGAAAACAACTCAGGACGGATTACGCATCAACATATACATATGCTGCGAACATATACAAAATACTACAGATGAATAAGTTCAAATAAATATATTTTAGATATATATTTGAAAAAAGAGCAAATTAAACGAACCGTTTTTTACTTTTGTAGGTCCAAATGGCAAATACCACTACACAGGCAACAATCAATATCCCTGACACTGATACAGACACTACTACAATTTCAAACTTGCTATGTTTCTCGTCATTTCCTTGATTGCTGGTTGGAGGTACACAATCTTATATCGCACAAAAAGATTTCATTTGTTAGGGAATACTTTTTCAAATATACTCATGTTTAGCTTTAAAGAATCTCCACTAAGTTCAATTTTCTTAATAGTAATTTTGAAAATCTAACAATAAGAAATTAAGGAACTTAAAATGGAAAACTTTTCATAGAATAACTAATAGTTAAACTCGGAATTAAATTGAAAATCGATATTTTAGCGATTCTCTGCCGAAACTTCGAGAAAAGCGTTGCGCAATAAAATTGTTTACTGAATATGTGCACACAAGTTAATATTATATTTTATGTAAAAATGTTTACCAATTTGTTATTTCATATTATGAGGCTATTACCCATTGTTGAGCACAATACTGAATACTATGGGACGGGTATACAGCTGGCAAAGCTATTTAAGACGTGTCGCCATCCGAATCTGGTAGAGCTTTTGCAGCAGTGTACGAGTCCAATATTATCAGTATTATTCTCCACAATGTAAAATGTCCTTTTTTTATCTCACACCATCAATTTCTGATACTTTGAGAGAAGTTTGTTAGTTAAGATTTGAAATTATTTTTTCACTCTGAAAATGAAAACGAGCCCACATGGCGTACAATATGCATTTAATACAGATATCTTGGACTCAGAAACTGAAGAAGAATGTGCGACAAAATCAACATTGAATGTTTATTGCTTTTATTTTTATAAGTTATGTAATAATTATAAATAATATACAACGAAGTTAGAATAACAATTTATGCAACATGGTAGCACTGCTCTTTGGTTGATTCCATGGCAATCGTCATCAAAACAAATAGTAAAATATTTTAAAGTAAAATAAAAAATATACCTTGCCGAATTGACCACTGGTAGCTGGTAACAAATGGGCAGCATATAAGAAATGGACTCGCTAGACTTCGCTCGCCTTCCCTGTAACACTGACTGTCTATATAGCAAGTTCCTGCCTATAAACAAAAAGTGTTTAATATCTTACAAAATAAAACAATTTTCATTTTTTAAGACACCCATGACTACCAAAAGGCATTTTCAATAAAGAAAAATAATGTTCTTTTAAACTTTTATTATAATGCCCGTACAAAGTGTAAACAACGGTATGTCATTATAAATTTTCCTTGCAAATTTAAATCGCTTTGACTACTGTAAGTTTAACTTTTTAACAGATATAGTATTACGACCCCTACCTTCAAACTGAAAATCAAATCGCCTGTTGGCATCATGACGTATGATTGACATGTCGAATCAAAGACATGAACATTTCTACCTGGGCCGTAGTGTATTCCATCGTTGCTAATAGATACAGAGTATCTAACAGTAAACGTATTAGATATGACATCTCTTTTCTTTCTTCTTTTCGTTACAGCAAAGGGGCAACAGTATCCATCAAACATACTCTCATATTCTCCGTTACGATCGTGTACATCAGAACTGATAACTGTTCCGTTAACATCAAGCTGTACAATACATAATTCATAATTACAATCAAAATAAAAGTAAATGATTTTTTTAAACGTTTTACATTTAAAATAATTGTGAATTAAATTGGTCCGTTGAATGTTAATGCACATTTAATTTGATTTAATCAAAATGAAATAAAATTTCTTTCTTTTTTTTCAAATGATGATAAACATCTACGACACAGCACGTTTTCACATTTTAGGTCATTGAATAGTCACATTAAAAGACAAGATTTCTATCTAAGATAATCAGTTTAAGACTATAACCAGTAAGTGTTTTAACATTAAAAGCCATGCAATTTCAAAATACCGCCAGGATAGTACAATTTTGAAAACTTGATTACTTCGTTAGTAGCTATATAACAAATTGAGAGCGAATAAGCATCTAAAATCAGTAATGTTTGTATTTTTTATTGATTAATACTAGGGTTTATTTTCTAAAAAATGTTTGTAAATTACCTATAAGCCTGATAATAAAATTCAATTTGAAGTTGGCATTGTTTATACCAGGGTAATGCACAGATTATATTAAAGCCGAGTTTATCTAATTACAATATGGTAACATGTCATCGATGTTTGATACGGGAAGCGTATATAATACGGATGGACAAAATTCCGAAATGTAGGGCATACATCAACTGTATCAATCCTGCACTTGAACCCTTTCAAGAGGTTCTTGGTGTGAAACTGAAGACAATCATGACAATCATCGCCGTCGGCAAGATCACATTCACCTCCACCTTCTATATCGGTAAGTTCTAGAAGCCCTGATTTCTTAACGAAACAAGAATCGCCAACGTAATCGTCTTTACATACACATGTTCCTGAAACGGACGAATACTCACTGGTTTTATTTCTAACCTTTGTTATAAATCACATCTACATTTCTTTAACTGAAGACTTTTCTGAAAATGGATATTTGTTCAATAATATGTATTTGTTTTATCTTGTTCATTAGTTTTATTATAAGATTATTCAATAAAAGAAACACACAGACATACCAAATAAACAATATAAATTTCTAGACGAAACATACTTTCTTTGAAGATTATTTGAATCTTTAATTCCACAACATACCATTTATGCAGTTCCCATTAAAGTTGCATTGCGATGGACATGTGAGGCTTTTAAAATTACTGACAACCTCGGATTTCTCTTCTCTCAATGTTCCGTTTCGGTCAATTTCTTGAGTAACAACACTTACCCAACTGTTATAACTTTCCTCTTTCCAGAAATCTCGGCCGTCAACCTGTATAATACAATTGCATAGATCTTGATGTATTCATCATCAGATACGTTAACAGATATACAATCATCATGTATTTTTCTCCACTTTGTAAATGCTTATCATAATGATTCATTTCCGATATAAATTTTAGGAAGAGATAATTAATGAAAAGTGATTTCATATAATGAAAATGTTGGAAAAGGATTATAAAATATATGAATCAGATTTCTTATTTAAAGAAGGCACTTACACAATGAATTGATAAAAAACACGACATTCATACAATATTTGTAGTAATTGCTGAATTTAAAACAGATTTATACAAGAAATCACAAACCATCATATCATTTACACATGCTGATAAAGAGTCATTCAAAGATATATCAGGTAGCTCATCTATCATGTTGTATGTAGGCTTTGATTTGAATACGTCAAGACATTCTTTGTATGCTTGTTCTTCAGTGAGATGAGAAATGGTTATACTCTACAAAAACGTACAGAGTAAACTCACAAAAGTACAAAGATCATTATATATTATCAATATGGGCATTTTAAGAAATAAGAACAAATCGATAGGTATTATCAAAGTCACAACCTGAATTCACTCCTAAGGTATCGTATGTTTCCTGCTTTAAATCTGCAAGGTTTTTAATGCTTCCGAGGGATCTCTATTTTCCAGATACATGTATTTACAACCACTAGATCCCTTTATTTATATTCATCCAGTGTTTCCTCCTGTTGGACACGATCATAACCATTATAGAGTATCATGCACTTTTACAAGAAATGGCATTTAATACGCGCCATAAAGATAGTTTTATGACCATTGATTGCCGCATGATCACATATATAGATGTCCGTAAATAATTTGTTGTTTGTTCATAATGAATTCCACACTGATCGCGGCTACGATACATTGATAATTGCTTTCGTCAATGAAAATCAAAACATTTTCATTTTTACGAGTTGTGTTTAGCAACATATAGAACTTTCACTTTTTAAATACTGAGATTTGAGAACTGAAAAAATACATATGCTGTAGACAATGGTTATATAACACTAATTTTCAGATATTTGTAAAGAGTTCGTTGATGATTATTGTGAATAAACTTGATATAGAATTATACTCACCTTGCGAACACGGTTATTTGAATTCTCACTTGATAATGAGAGAACAAGCAACCGCTCAATATTTCTTCTATGTCTTTCTACAGATCTCTTGTATTTTAATGTGCAAGTTTTCTTTTCTTCTAAAAGTTGAATTTTTTCTGTACACACAGCGTACTCCCGGGAAAAACAAATTGCTGCCGTTGAATCGTTTTGACCATTCTGTGAAGTTGCACTTGGGAAAGCCTTTGAACATATGCAGACGGTGTGATTGTACGCCAATGGTGATGATGGAAGATTGTCAGGCAACGGGTTGAATAAACTGTTTTGTAATCTGTATTTGATAATGGACAACGTTCTTGAGTCACGAACAAGAAATATAAAATGATAGTTAATTCACTTATTTTATTTATCTACAGATTAAAAGTGTATAAAGGCATTGATTGTTCATTATGAAAATAGTATGCCATTTGTAACAAACCTTGTTAAAACAAATTGAATGTCATGATTATCATACAATATTTATCATATCATGATAAATGATAAAAAATCAAAACAACAAATGACAAATAATATATTTCGCTTTAAATAAAATGTTTGATTTTTACTTTCAAAACTTTACCAAACCATTTAATTTTTACAAACGTTGTTTATCTTTTAACTAGCAATGAAAAGTTGTTTTTTTATATTGAAACATGTTTTTAAATTCCAAAAAAACAAGCTTATACAGTAAAAACCCTCAATTAAGACCACCATCGGGACTGGACCAAAGTGGTTTTAATTGCGGGGTGGTCTTAATTGTGGATATTGTTATCATTGCTTACACACGTTATGACCAGGGCCTATTTTACTCATTTTGTATGGACAAACAATATGTATCTTAACCTGCAAAATCAATATGAAAATATGTTATAATGTTACATCTGATGGGAAGAAAACATATTTCTGAAGAAATTTTTAATATCAAATTTTCTTTGCTCTGATTTCAAAATTAATTATGTATGATATACATAATTCACATATCATGTAAGACATTATTTCTTCACAAAATAAATGTGCAAAGCGCAACATTAAACCACTCTGAAATTAATTAACTTTCTCACCTTTTTTATGAAATATCCCATAAATAACAGTTGACACCTTGTGTAATCAAGGGTCATACCTAAGAGCAATCAAGCAGATAATAATAACATAACAACACATCTAAGATCTAGGAAGGTGTTGATTTAATATCAGTGGTCTAGATAGTGAGATCAAATAAAGAACAAAATAATGAATTGGGACTGAATTTGGTGGTCTTAAAAGTGGATAAGTGAGGTGGTCTTAATTCTGGATCATGTAACCATTGACATAAAGAATAGAAAATTCCGTTCTTTTAAAAACTGGTCTTAAAAGCGGGGTGGTCTTAATTCCGAGGTGGTCTTTAGTAGGGATTCTACTGTACTTAAAGTGACTCTTAAAAATTGTACAAATTAAATTGAATAATACCTATAATGAATTGATAATTTTGATACAGTTGTATAGAAACACATTTAACCAACTGTAATGTAGAAAATTTGAATAGCTATAAATTTGGTTTGTTTTACTTTAAAATTCGAAGATAAACTTACTTCCATTTTACGTAATAATCGTTATTTACTGTTTCCTCATTTCCATCGAGATTTCCACATAAACCGTTCGTATTATTTACATCGGACGGAGATGGAAAAATATAAATTCTTAAAAAGTTTGACGTTTGATAAAATCTTATTTCAATTGTAACCTTGGTGCCTGTTGGAAGATATACCTGGAATAAGAAAAAAACAATATATAACAGACAAAAACACACACTCATATTTATACACTTTTTCAAATAATATTATTTCACTATATTACTGAAAGTAAACTGTCTTCTTAGCTGCCTGTTAATACAAGCACATTTAAAGGTCTATGGACAAGAATTAATATGCATGTTTTTCTGTTTCCAACAGATTATGATACGTAGACTACAAATACGCTATAAAAGTGTCCTTATATGAAACAAACATGATTTAGAAAGTCGTTTTTTCCGCAACGCGAAAGCAGCTGCACTCATATGTAAATATGTCCCGCTAATACATCAAAAATACACATTGTTTACTGTTATTTATCGTGCTTTACACGTTTGTTATAAACGAATACTATGTTAGGAAATTTCAACTTTAGTTTTTCTTTTAATGTTTAAGTTTTCTTACAGAACACGATTTTCTAACAAACGCCGTCAATGTTTAACACACAAAAAGTCATTCAATTATTTAACTGGATTGTAAACAAATAAATAACAAAAGGTGACAAACAAATAAGAAAAAACATTCTAAAGGCTCTAATTTCTATTACTTACTATGCAATTTAAGGCCTACATATAATTTGTTTACTAACATTACCTATGAACTAGTCACCTTTAAATGATCAACATGCTTTATTTTGATAATTAAAGATCAAGTTATTATCCGGACGATAATTCCTTTTTCAATTGGTAATTTTAAAAATAAGAACTGAATTAACCACACATCTCCCAAGTTAATTACATAATGAATGTTGTACGGTTTATTTAATTTAAGGTAATCATCCTATCAACGTCATAATATTTCATATCTATCACAATGTGTACATTAATGTACCCAATGTTCTGCTGGTCAGATACAATTTATCAAAAGGTGATACCACTTATGAGATTAAAGCTGGGAGTATGAGGACTTACATACAAGTACGTAATTAGGACTGAAAAGAGCGCATTGACACTTTTAAAAAAGTAGTATATCGGATAAAGGAAACGGTTAGGTATTGTTTTAAAAGATTTATTCATGTTAGAGTAAAGTGATATTTTATGTTTGATACGAAAATGTAAGTAGTGTGTACTTTTTCGTTAAATTCATTCACTTTATTACTTTAACACTGCAAGAGGGCTAGGATCGTCGAGTTGGTCATCGTTTTCAGAAGTTAAACGTGATATTGTTGGTGGCTGATCTTCAATGGTGAACTACAAGTGGATCTTCATCATTGATGCTTTTAAGAAGTGCATCGATAATATATACGATTACAAGGAACACAGCAATACGAGGGGTGTTCGGGAAGTTTAAGGACTTTTGCTGTAGTTTGATAAATAATAGGAATTGAAAAACAAGAAAAACACCATAAAATATTTAATTCTTTTACAGCCAGCTGTAAAAATTACAATGAAATACATTAAACAATAAGTAAATTACAAATAAAACAAAACATACACCGAAGCATACCCGGAGCACGCTAACGTCACGTCAGTGCTAAATATGTTAACGTCAGATTTCCCCGATCGTCATATCGACTCACTTCTCGACGTAATCTCCATTCACAGCGATACATTTTCTATGCCTCTTGACCCATTTGTCGTACGTGTCCTCGTACCAGATGTTGTCGAATGACGAAACTATTCTCTGGGTTTCAATTTGTAATTCCAACCCGGAATCAAAGCGTCGACCACGCAGCTGTGCTTTGATTTCCGGAAAAACTCGGAAATCCATCGGCGCGAGGTCCGGGCATCCTCTATTGACTCTCTTCCGTTTCGGAACATGTCATGCCGTCTAAATACTAGCGATCTACAGCATTTCTTTGTTGTACTAGATGCTTGAATCATTTTATACGTCTCCGTTGGTGTCTTTTCTATTCCTATACAAAACTTGATGATTGCCCTGACTTCAACGTCGCCTATTGATGTCATTTCTCTTGATTTGTGTAAGCACCAGTGATGTTAAAACCGCTGTTATTCAAACAATCGTAACGATTTACGAGTAGAATTTTTAGGAAATGACGTTGACGTTGTATTTAACGCTCTTGCTTTTTCGTGACATTATCCATTGAAATTTAATAAAATTATTATCAATTAAATATATCGGTACCATTATATTAAATACGATAAAATCGGAGTGCTCCGGGTATGCGTTATGCGGTTCCTATAGAAACAAATTTCGAGCGGTATTTGTCTATTCTTGTTAGTAAGCGTTATACTACATATTGAGCACATATTTAAATTACATTTTGTGAAATATGGATAAAAACGCACCATTGAGGAATAAAATACAGCAAAAGTCCTTAAACTTCCCGAACACCCCTCGTATATCGTTATCATGAACTATCGATGATTTTACATAGACATACGAGGGATGTTCGAAATGCATTGCTTATTTCTATCTGGAGACTTCAAATTTCAAGTTAGCTCAAAAGTGTTCATTTCATGCCCTCGAAGTACTCCCCGTGGCTAGAACTGCAAAGTTTCAGCCGATGTATCCACTTCTTGAAGGCGTCACGGTACGCTGATTTGGGCACAGTAATAAGGTAATGATGAATGGCAGATCCAAGTGCCTGTCGGGACTTGTATTTCCACCCAGCAAGGTAGGATTTTAATTTCGGAAACAAAAAGAAATCACATGGGGCAAGGTCTGGAGAATACGGGGGAGGGGGGGGGTGAGGCAAAACAGTTCTTTTTTCTTTTTTTAAAAACGCCGAAACTTTTGCGGAAATATGAGCGGGGCATTGTAATGTAGAAGACGGATATGCTTAAAACCAGTGACAGGGCGTCGTTTCATATAATACTGTTTCAGTTTCTTAAGTACTACGTCTTTGTAGTACTTCCCAGTGATACTTTTGCCCTTTTTCACCGGCACTTTTATTGCGACTCCTTCACCAGAGAAGAAAATTGCATACAAAACCTTCTTTGCACTCAAAGACCGTTTGGCAATTATTGGGCGTTTGTTGTGTTTAGTGGCCCAGATTTTGTTGCTAACTTTTCTGACGGGCTCAAAATAATGGACCCAAGTTTCATCACCTGTGACGACATTGGCAAACTGTTTTTTTGTCATATTTTGGAAACATTTGAAGCAGCTTTTTGGCCACCTTAACCCGTTGCCTCTTTTGCTCATCGGTCAACAGATGTGGCACCCATCTAGCAGAAATCTTTCTGACTTTCAAATGCTTCTTCAAAATAAAGTGAACCGTTGATAGTGATATGCCTACCTTTCGTGCAATATCACGAACTGTAAATCTGGCATCTCCTTCAATGATATCCTTTATTTTGGAAACGATTTCGTTACGAGATGCAGATTTTGGCCTACCTGATTTTGGTGCATTTTTGATGCACTCTACACCAGACTCAAATTTCTTTTTCCATCGCCTAACTGTGTCATAAGACACACAAGAAGACCCATAAGCAGTAGAGGGTTCAGTCATCAACTGCTTCAAAGAGCAACCCAGTTTTGAGCGAGCTTTGATGTAAGCCTGTATTTCATCTTTTTTGACGACGCTTCTACCAAACATTTTTACTACAGTGGTCAATGACTGCGTGTATTTAAATAGCAAATTGTATGTCTTACACTTAGTCTAACATGTACATTTATACACCGTTATGTAGTTATTAAATTACCCTATACAGGTATATATTGGTTTTTATCGTGTGTCCCACATGGATCACGAGATAGAGGACACTAAGCAATTCTTTTCGAACAGCCCTCGTATGTACAAAACTTTCGGTTTGAGGTGGCATCTGTATCACTGGTAGCAACTCTTACATCGATTTGTGTGATACCGGTCTTTGTAAGGGTAATAGTAAGGCAATTATCGAATATTTAATGCGTTTATTCTCAAAATAAATTTTACTTAAATCTGTTCTAAACGATCAAATATAAAAATTGATACTTGAATATGAGCTCCAATGACCTATAAATCTACATTTGTCATTAACAACGTTTTGGTTTGAATAATAATGATTATATGTTAAAAGGAGTTAAATGTTTACCTCATAATAGCTATCTGTTGCTTTTCTTACATTTAGAACATTTCCACGACAACGAGAGAACTCTGCTCGTTTTATGTCACTACATATGTCAATCAAAAACACGTCTCCTCCCGCCTGAATTGCAGCTGCACATGTACACACAGAGGTTAATGAGTTGTTACGACTGTCTGCATCACATAATTGCGTTTTAATCTGAACTTCTGCCAAACTCTCTTTATTATGATACAAAAGGTAATGGCTAGAATCGTTTATATAAGATGGCGAGATTGAAGATGGCCGATGCCCGTCAAATGTTGCTAATGTAGGGTCATTAATAACTGAGCATTCTTTGTTTTTCCATTCATTGTTTTGACTTCCTCCAGTATAAAATACCTAAAAGGCAAACTTTAAGGTCATTAAAATGCCAAAAATATTAGTCAAATTTGTAAATTACAACCGTTAACAATTCAACCGTCTAATCAATGGCTAAATTATAAACATATTCATACCTTTACATCATCAAGTCGGACATTTTCCCAAAATTTATGTGGCGCATTATTCCCAGTTTTTAGCTGCACAGTAAACGTTTTGTCCTCTGGATATTGAAGCTGGTCATTTGACGCAGAAATTTGTATCGAAACTCTCGAAAGGCTACTGATTATGCTTGAGGAATTACATAATTCAACATTGTGCGAATGCATACATGGTTTAGAAGTTGTGTTACGCCATCCAGTTATTTTACTTCCACATAGTTTCTGGTTACTTAATGTTATCACTGTGTCCAGGCACTGAAATACGGAATGCTCTTTTGTACAATAATTTAATTTTCAATTTTTACATGTGATGGGTTATAAGCTAAAACATGCATTAATATGTAATAGACAAGGTCATCAGAAAAAAGAAAATAATTAAATAAAATAGAACTGAATTGACACTACCTTTTTAACGTCAACTGTGTATTGATTTGATTTAATATTGCACCCTTTATAATTTCGAAATTACCATTAATGTCAAGAAACAAGAATGCATTTGAGGAAAAAGGCTACGCCACTGCAGCCAGAAGTAGTTAATTTTTCTATTTATATCAATGAAACTTTGTGGTATTGAAGTTTAATGTAGCGAATGAAGAAGTAGGTTAATAGATAAAAATTAGACTAACTATAATCAGCAATCTATTCTTTATCATAAATCTTGGATAAATGGAAAAATAGATCACTATATCAAGATATATATCAACCAAAATCAGCGTTCAGCTGTCAACTTGGCAATGTTTTATGTCAAATATCTAAGCACTTGCATTTCTTTGTTCAGTACAAACTGCTAAAAACAATTTTGATAGATATTAAGGGAAAACCCATGGCCTATCGGAGTGAAGCCATTTTCTACACAATTACTTAATTTTAAACAATACTTGTAGAAGTCCACTAAACAATGTTTCTTGATAATATCTAAGCTATAGTCTATGTGGTTTTCGGCCAAAAAATATTTCTAATATTTTTGTACATCTTTATACGGAAAACCTATGCATTACCATCACCCCTTTGCACTGAGTCGGGTCAGTTTAGACAGCAGGGTTATTATATAAAAACATCATGTTTCAGACTAGAAATATAAGCCCTAACCCATACAGTTTTGGAGGAAAAGCTTTCCTTTGTTAACAAAATGTACATCATTCCTATCATTCCTAGGCCTGGGCCAAATTTGATGATCCCAAGGCTATTATTTGGACGATTCTTTTTTATATGAATCCTAGACAATTTTTCAGGACTATCATTTGAACAATCTTGGTAGTGGTCCATGCTTCAGGCTTTGTGGGTCTTGGAATTCCTTTTAGTTGCCATGGTAACCAGATGTCTGCATGGAATCATATGTTTTGAATTACTCACATGCACGCACGGATACACCCATCCACGCACATATTGGAATCGCTATATACCACCGCATCGTTTATTCAGGGGCAATTTTCGAGGTATTTTGTAAGTTTGTAATAACCATGGACATGAGGGGAATGTTAATCAGTTATTACCTTTTTTTTTACCTATTTTTTCGGCTGGGGAAGTTGGGGTTAGACGTTTGTGAAACAAACCATTCTGCTCATAGCCATATCTTAGCGTATATTGAAATAAAGCCATAAGATCTATTTTTTATTTATCAAGGTCTGAGTTGCATAGGATTGATTTAATATAACCCTTTTTCGTAAATTGTGTAACGAAGAATGACAGTAGGCACATATGACACAGTATGTAATTTATATTTTATATCAACAGGATGTAATTACGATACTATTTTTAGAGATATTTTTAATTACTTATGACTGAAATTAATACTACCCTATACAAATCCTTTTAAATATGAAACGTTTAAATTTAGTGGTTGAAATTATATTTTGGTACATTTAGCAATGGCAACTATTTCTCATTTAATGATATTCCGTTGAATAAGCGGTTTTTGAATATCCAAACATAAAAAAGTCTGTTAAAACACCATTAATTTTATCAAATCTGACGTGCCTCTCGAAACCGAATTATAATCGCCGTTCCTGGACGGCGATATATACAATTAACAAGATTTGAACAGTTCTACCTGTAGACCGCCTGCCTTTAGCCAATCAAAGCGAATAATTTAATATCACATGCTTACGAAATGGACGTCATTATTATAACTTCAATGAGGGAAGCTTAAATGGATTCGCCCAACCGCCATGTTTTGTTGGGTTACTTCGTACAACTGAAAAATACCATTATCAATGTACGAACTCAGTACCAGTCTTAAGTTGGCAGGATAAACACAGCGAATTGCAATATTTTTTTCTCCATGCAATTTCTGATAAAAGAATGTAGCCTTAATAATAGTATATTTTGTTTTATTTCAAAAACTGGCACTTCTGTGACCTTGACCTTCAAGGTAGCGATTAAAATGTTGCGCGCGACACGTCATCTCAATATGGTGATCATTTCTGTGAAAAAGTTGTAAAATCCGACTTCAAATAACGAAGTTATGGGCCGGACACGATTTTGCTACAAGGTCATGCTGTGCCCTTGACCTTCAATGTAGCGACCCAAACGTTGCGCGCGACACGTCGTCTCAATATGGTGATCATTTCTGTGAAATAGTTGTAAATTCCGCCTACAAATAACGAAGTTATGGGACGGACACGATTTTGCTACAAGGTCATGCTGTGACCTTGACCTTCAAGGTAGCGACTCAAATACTGCGCGCAACATGTCGTCTCAATATGGTGATCATTTATGTGAAATAGTTGTAAAATACGACTTCAAATAACGAAGTTATGGGTCGAACACGATTTTGCTGCAAGGTCATGCTGTAACCTTGAACTTCAAGATAGCGACCATAATGTTACGCGCGACACGTCGTCTCAATATGGTGATCATTTCTGTGAAATAGTTGTAATATCCGACTTCAAATAACGCAAATAACGAAGTTATGGGCCGTACGCGATTTTGCTTCAAGGTCATGCTGTGACCTTATTCTTCAAGGTAGCGACCCAAATGTTGCGCGTGACACGTCGTCTCAATATGGTGATTATTTCTGTGAAATAGGTGTAAAAATCCGACTTCAAATAACGAAATTATGGGCCGGACACGAATTCGGAACGTACGTAAGTAAGTACGGACTGACGAGCGGATGGACGGACGGACGGATAACCCGGCGACTATATGCTCCCCCGAAATATTTCGGGGAGCATAAAAATACTGTATACATATCTTGAAAACACATAACCACTTAGGCGTGGCCACTTTTGTCCAAGGACTATCATTTGAACAATCTTGGTAGTTGTCCATCAGGCAATGCCTAACGCAAAATATATATGCTCTAGGCATTGTGGGTCTTGGAATTCCTTTTAGTTGCCTTGGCAACCAGATTTATGCATGGCATCAAATGTTTTGAACAGCTCACATGTACGCACGAATACACCCATCCACGCACACATTGCAATCGCTACATGCCACCGCATCGCATATTCAGGGGCATTTTATAACTGAAATTAATACTACTCTATGCAGATCCCTACAAATATGAAACGTTTAAAGTTAGTGGTTGAAATTATATTTTGGCCAATAAGATTGATGTTCATTTTGTACATTTAGCAATCAGCAAAGATTTCTCATTTAATGATATTCCGTTGAATAAGCGTTTCGTAAATATTCATAATAATTTAGTCTGTTAAAACATAATAAAAATAAATGATAAACGAACACTAATATATATATAACTTTAATTAAGCTCTGCCTTATACCTATTATACGTTATTTGTAATTCAGTATTTCTTAATCTATATTCTATTTAAATGTTACAAAGGCTTATGAAAAAAGTCGCACTACAAAACATCATATAACGTTATTGGGTGCATTAATAAAACTGTAAAACCTATATTTCATGAGGCGCTAAATGTTCGTTACGAAGAGGCAAATACTTCCTCAGATTATATTTCAGATATAAATTTAATATAGATGCAATTTAATCTGCTAGTAAAATAACATATTTTACAATCTTTTTTATTCATATAACGTGTATGAAAGATTTTTTAAAAGCTATTATCGAGCACTTTTCTACTAAAGATTCATTTATTTTTGAAAGAAAAAAATATGATCACTATTATAAAGCAAGTTTGAAATTAGGACAAAAAACGTTTGATAACTCCATTTGTCTTGTCTTTATTATTGAAATTGAAACGTATCCTTTTTTAAAGTTCTTTCTTTTTAACCGTTTTTACATAAGATACCTTAAAATGTTTTCTATGTAGTTTGCCTTATGTGTAAGTATGTGGGTCAGTAAATATTGCCAATTAAAAAGATTTTAAAATACAAAACAAGTATTGTAATAAGCAGACACATCTCTTATTGTTAAAAAAGTTTTAAAACTACTTCTGTCTCAACAAACACAAGTGGTTAAAGTTGTTAACCCTTAACCTGCTGGAACCTAAAGTGACCAGCCTTTGCCACCAGTATAGAGCCAGGTCAGTCTGTTCAAAGCATGAATATTGCTTTGCAGTTTTAGCCATATATGTTTAATCTGCATGTGTGTGCGCACGTGCACGTGCGTGTGCATGTGTGCAAATCTATATGAAAGACCATAAGGGATCATAGTTAATGTAAATATTTTTAAATATTTTATTTATGGCGTAACTTAGTGGGTATCGGATAGGATGTCCACAATTATTGACAAGTGGCTGATATTTCAGATAAACATTTAGTAAGGGTAACATGTTGTCTTTTCAGCATTTCACGGGGTTAAATCTGTTTAGCGCGGCCAACTTAGTGGTTGAAATTATACCAAAATTATGATTCTGATTTTACGTTGATGAATCAAAATAACTAAACAGTACGATATGTAATATTGTGCGTTGAATGATATAAAACTGAAAACAAGAAGTTTTCTTTTGTTAGTTCTTAGTTTTCCAAGCAAAGTCATATTTAAAAGCATAGCTTGCATAACAAAGACATTTTTATAAATACATTGTACTTGATTAATATGCAAAACTATATATAAATCATAAACATTTTATCAGTTGAACACATCGATAATCACATAATTCATAGACACTTATTGAACATCATAAACCAGGGTCTTTCAAAAATTCTATTTAAAAGACTCTGCATAAACTAAGGGAATCTGATAAGTTCGGACATTTTGTTATTTTGAACTCAGATCTTGTGTAAATTGACTCAGTCAAAACTGGCAAACTTTCGCTCTACTTCAAAATTGTGCTGTACGTTAAACGAGCGAACGGCATTTCCTAGATAGAGCGGAAGGCCGATTTAAACGGTTTATTGTAAGTATTGTTTATGTTTTTGTCTTTTAATTCATTTAAGAAAATTCGACCAATGTAGTTCCGTGTAAGATTGTTTTAGGCTTCCAATTACCTAAGCCTTAACAAAAAGAAAATTATATTAAACCCGGAGAACTTTTCCCCCTGAAGAAGTGAACGACAATTTGTTAAATATCAAACTTCCAACCATTGAAACGCTCTACACTTCAGATTTTTTGAAAAAGTTTTTCAGAACAATATCAACATGTAATAAGAGCCAGTCTTTCGTGCAAAATAAACTACTCTTGGTGGATTTCTTAAAATTTGTATATCGATTTTTTTCGAAAGAAGTGGAGCAAAAGGGCAAAAGATGGAGAGAAAGGTCAGTTGTTGAGTGCAAGGCGATATTAAGTAAGCGTATAGAGCGTAGTGTACGAATTTCTATAAATAAAAACTTTCAAAGTTTAAGTAGACTAAAATGTGAAGCCGGAGAAATATGATATTATATTAATTTATTTCCACTATAACCAGGTCTACTAAATATTAATAATTTAGTACGTACACCGAAAGAGCACTGCCTTTTTATTACGTTCGTTTTGTTCATAGATACTCTGTGAATAAACAAACAAAATTTTACAGATATTTTTTATCTTAAACCAAGATGTGTACTGACAATATGCAGTGTTTGATGATAAAAGTAAACAGTTTTATTTTGAGAGGTAAATAATAAACTATTAATTATTACGTCAACCAATTTCATAGAGATTCTCCACCTAATAAGTCTTTCAATAACATGAAAACGTGGCTTATTTATGTTTGACCTGAACATGAACGTAAGAGCTATTAATTACAGAAAGCCATAGTAAAATGAACTCTTCGTACTTAAAATGGTAGTTGTGATCCATTTAATGTGTCCCGTGCTTTACAAAAAATATTCGATTTTGTCGAATTTGAACGGACACACGTTTTACATAGCCGTGTCAAAAATCATGATTGACCTCGAATAACTGACATCCTGTATTACGCCATGCATCTGATTCAATGATCGGGACTCATCCAAATTTGGAACATAAATAAAGGAATCTATACTGCAGCCACAGGTGACACATTCGCCATTACATTTATTACGCTGTAGTCGTTGAAGGAATATCACCCTTAATAAGTTGTCTTTAAAAGTTATATATAGCTCGGTCTCAACACTTGATCATGTCCATTTCAACTTCGTTAGCTTTTATAATGTATAAAAATTCATAGACTTCGATCCTCCTTATATGTCAAATAAATATCGCCTTTCGCTCAACATCGAACCTTTTGCTCCATCTCTTGCCCTTTGGCTCCACTTCATTCGGGAAATATCGGTATACAAATTTAAGAAATTCACCAGCAGTCATTAATGTTGCCCGAATGACAAGTTCTTATTACGGGTTGATATTTTTTTCTATACACTTTTTAAAAAAAATCCAAAGGGTATGGCATTTTAAAGGTTTGGAATGTGAATATTCTACAAATCGTCGTCCGCTTCGTCAGGGAAAGAAGTTCCCCGGGGTTTAATATAATTTTCTTTTTGTAACAGCTTAGATCATTGGCTTTAAACAATCCTACACGGTACTACAGTTTCCTTTTTTCGAAAAAAAAATACAACTTAAATAATTTACAAGGCAAAAAAATATGATTATAATACTTACAATTAACCGTTCTAATCGGCCTTTTGCTCTATCTCGGGAATGCCGTTCGCTCGTTTTACCTTACATCACTATTTTGAAGTGGAGCGACAGTTTGCCAGGCATGAAGTTCGTACGTAAAATAAATTGTTTTTGTGTAGAATTAACTTAGGATGACAAGAACTATCCGTAACATTTTATTTTAGAATGGCCAATGGGATTCCCAGCTTTCATTTTGTTATTCTAAAATGACCAATGAAAACTATTCTTTAATTCACTTCTTTCCTTTAAATTTTACAGTAATTCAACCTGAAAACAGACCGGCTTCGGCCGGGAAAAATCACAATAATCTGGAATCAGGAAAGTTAAAAATTAATAGCACTAGTAATGTATGTGTGTCCAAATCTGGTTATACACACTAAATGCTTACAAACGCCAAAAACATAGACTTAAAAGTGCTTTTACAAGACAAAGTGTAAAACTTAAGGGTAAAAAAATAAAATTCTGTTATATTAAAGCTTTGGGAGACATTATTTTTGACATTAATTGAAATAAGGTTGCCGGTATTTAAAAATTAGCGCATTATTTTTGCATAGTCATTTGACCAAAACGTGCATGTTGATTAGTTTAACTCATGTTTTGAAATTTTATAATAATATACGTCATATAACTTTAAAAGACAATATTTGCGTGACACTGCCTTAAATCCAGAATTTGATGTTGCGTTTATGAGTTAAAGTTACATTAAATAAAAATGTAAAAATATTTTGCCGTCGGCCTAAAAATCAAACATTCTACAGTTTCATTAACCTGTTTAATAGTATTGTTGTAAATGTAATCAAATAGTGTTCATAAATAAGGATTTTAAACGGGAAACCCCACGGTACCACTAAAGTTCGTATACGAATTTTATCATGCAAATGAAGACTATAATGAGTTCGTGTATGCGCTACGTCACAGTTTTATAGTTGCTATCCGAACACAGAAAATGTGATATTTTCTTGTGCAAACACACTCTAACCGTTTAAGCTTCACGGTGCACTACCTTGGGTTCAGTAAAAGTATTAATCTCGTAAAAAGATTAAATTTGTATGAAAACATCCGTTACAATGCGGAAATATACCGTTAAATTAGGACTGCTACTTATAGTCATGATTGTTGATTTAATATTGGTGTACGGATGATCCGAAGGCGGAGTTTCTCATGCAAGCAGAAATTGTATTTCCCATTTCGCCACAATGAGGTTACCTATTTTTATGCTAATAAAACTCATTTTGGTTGTTTGGACACCAAAATAAGACCTGGAGTCGATATAAAACCCAATTTATTAATGAAATGTCGCTATTTAGTTTTTTATGAAATTTATCTAATGTAACTTTAAATAGATGGAAATAACCATCATCTTATTTTAATGACATTTCATCCCAGTAAAACCCGTTTAAAAGTATAAGCCTTTACTGCATCAATCGCATAAGGACTCGAACACCATTATAATAAAAATACAAATGAGAGATTAGGTATTTCGCATATATAAACAAATATTAATTGAATGCTGGGAGTTGTTGACTACGTTAATTCCATGATATTGTGTGAAGGACCAACTAAATGATGTAAATGCATACATGTAGAAACCGAAATTATAAAAATTTACCTTTTGACGCTATTTCAGAAGTGGTCATAATTGTAGGTCAATGGGTATTTCTAAATTGATTCTGATTGCCAGACATGTTTTTCAATCATAGTTTTACTAAATAGCCTTTGGTTTCCTCTAGGTTTCAAATATATATCTCCGTTAGTAACAAAAAAAGAAAGAAAAAGATTACGTCCTTTGTTCTTATTTTCATATTTGCAAAATGTAATTATTATAGGGACTTACTTTTAAGGAATGACCAAATGATATTATCTTGATAAAGTAATATCATTATATTCCAAAGGCGCAGCTCATATTCTTGACATTGTTCAATATATGGTCTGTATATATTAATAATTTGAAAAGAATTTGTTTGTATTGTTTTTCTCGCAGGTATCCTATTTTCCGAAAAAAAAGTTTTAAAATACATTACCGGATATGTAGAATTTGGATCAAACATTTCAATGCCCAGATCACAAGGTGGTGCTGCTACGTTGAGATATTGTAAAACATCTGACCGTCGACATCCAAGAGGAATTGTTGGTTGTAATAAAATACTTTCCGACGATCCACTGTTTAATGTTATTCGAGGTGTAAGAACCTACAATGATAAGAAATATGATTAGACTATCTATTATAATTGATGATCATTGAATGAATGATTTCGACATAATCATTTGTCTCAAATGAAGATTTAAATTTTAAATGGTTGTGACAGAGGAAACTGTCGTGTAAGCGCTTAATACGTGTACATTGCAATTAAAACAGTTAAGATAAATATTATTACCACTTTTTAGTTTTTCTCGAGTTTGAAAATTCTCTTCGTCATGTATGGATTTGCTCAAAATTTAACTCAGATAGTTTGGAACTCGATAATACAGACGGATGAAATATCATAACTGATAACATTTCAGTCGTTGTATATTCCAGTTCAAAGCATAAATGGTATTGATATTCACCTTTATACCAGCGTAAAATGTATCACTCATCTGTGGATTTGTTTGGTTCCCGGTAGCTGCACTTGATACTCTTATCGCACATTGGATCTGTAAACAAATCATGAGCAGCACTTTAACTCCATTAATTGTAAAATTGAGATAATCAAACCATATTTGATGATCAAACTTTGATATGTTTTTCTTTTGAAAAAAGAAAAAAGAAAAACACAATTGTAAAAACACCGTGAAAGTAAAACAGCATAGTTATTTCCTTTATTTTTAAAATGTTAACGTAAAAAAGTGGATATTTCTTCTTGTTGCGAGAAATTTTCTGCTTGCAGTGATGGAATAATCTTTTTTTTTATTGATTCAAACACGATTAAGTGTTAAGTTTGAGTACCGCTCAAGCCAGTGCAAGTGGACGTGACGGATGCACTTTTCTAATCCCTCATATACAGACTCAATCAAATGGAGCATTTTTTCATGTAATTTTGTTGTGGTATATAAACGTTCCGAGGGATCACATTTCATTCAGATATTTTCAGCATGGGTTAAACCGAAACTTGAAAATCAAAGGTGCGTTCGAGATCACATTGTATGAGGTTATGATTATACGGGTAGGATAACTTACTTTTTAGCACGTGTTGGATATTTACGTGGATCTTATTCAGTAAAGGTCATATGGCGACTTTCCAGCTTTATTGGTTGGTTTAGACTTCAGTTGCCCTTCCAAGATTATTTCAGGCACGAGCAGGCACATTAAAAGAACAACAGACGTTCCAAATAGCTCATGTGAAAGAATCCAAAATTCCTGGCAAGTTCAAACTAACAGCGGTGACGGGCTAGTCATTTGAAGTCAGCGACCTTAACCGATTGACCACAAATGACCTCTGGTTATCTTCTTAGAGGTAAACATTAATTGAGTCGTGTAAAGTGAAGCACTATCTATTGAAATAGTTAGCTTCCGCTTGTCAATTATTAAACTGTACATTAATGTTATAGAACTCTAACATTAACGAGCAGCGAGTTCATATTGGGAAAAATATTTGTTGAACATCACCGTTATGAGGCCTATATGCCTGAAGTAGATATGACAGTTATTTCTTAATTACTATGTACACAATAGTTGTGTCTAAATGTCACAAATGTGTGATATTTTCCGTGTTTATTGTTGGATTTGGTTTTAACTCAAACTCAAACAGAATATCTGCTTCCCCTGTAAGATCTGTTTCACTATAAGATATGCTCTGTCATCTATATATCGGTATCTAAACTGACGTTTTTTAAGAATGTATTGCACAATATATTTCTTTCATTATTTAATGTTCTGACAATATGGGCCATCTAAATGCCACCTCCAATATAATGTATAATACCTACAGTAAGTCCAAATTTAAATTTCAGTTTGCCAATGGTTGTCTCATTAAGATTTGTGCCATCTAAATCGTTTGCCATTACCGGTGAAAATATCTTCTCAATTCGCCCATTTATAACCCTGTAATAATAACTAATAAATTCTAAATTAAATACTAATCACATTTTTGTACTTTCCCTTTTCTAAATTCAAAAGCATAACACCGATTTAGCAACAGAAACTCGAAACATTCAATATTACTTTACTGTCTATAAAACTCTCTGTTACATGTAATGAATGAATAAAAGAAGCAGTATCTTATATTTACGCACAACGTTGTACTACAGTTTTTAGATTTAATTTACTTCTATTTATGTCCCATATATTGGGTTGCTTCTATATCTTAATTTTTGAACTTTTCAGACACAAATTCAAACAATCCTTTGCTTAAATATGTCTGTAACTTAAAGTCTGCTTCTTGGTACTAACCAGCAAAGGAACAAGGCCGTGGCCCAAGCCGGGCTCGGATCCATGGCCCATTAGCTCAGAAGCAGGCACCATTACGGCTTACAAACCAAAGATAAAGATAAGAATACGGGAATTGTTTATGCATAAAGTTTGACGATGATTTTGTGTTTAATTCTTATCCTGATAATGTCAAATATATTGATCAAATTTGGGCACTACGTTTGGTTGTTTATTCTTGTTTATTTTAATGAATGAACAGTAAAGCTATAATAATTACCAGCTAACTCCATAGTAATATCCTTTACTTCCAGTTTTAATCGTAGCTGTTGAATTGAAATTACATTTAAAGTCAAGTTCCGGAACTGTACTGTTAGAGGAAATGTTACGTCGGTACATCAGTGCTACGCTTACTTGAATTTTGCCAGGAATTTTGTAATCTGGTGCAGGTTCTTCAACTTTAATAGATGGTATTAACAAATGCAAGCAATAACAGGACAAACTTATTTGTATGACTTGGTATCGATAGTGATTAATGTTGGTTAAGTACAAAGCTCAAATAAATATCATCTAAATATCTAGCACATTGCATTTTTTTCAGTTTTGTATTACGACAATGTTGACAAAGTAAGTAATAACTCACCTGAGAATGACGACGGTTCTGTGAAAAAAAAGAAAAACATTTTATGTCATTTTATAAAGCAGACCCATTAAGCAGTAATCATTTATTTGTATAAAGTTAGATCAACTATTTAATATAAATATATCGCTAATCTCTTTCTTGAATGTTACATGAGACAAGTAAACAAAGTAAACAATGACTTCCAAAATATTTTTACGCAAAAATGATGTTTTGGTATACGATAGTGTTATATTTTTACACATCTCAATTATTTATATCATTACTACTATCATACAGTCATAATGGTTTGTACATATGTCAAATTCTTTACAAAATCAATGAGTTCATACCAAAACAATATGCACTTGTTCCATCTGTTGGGAGTAGATAGTACTGAATCTGTTGTCTACATTTACGAACTTTGATGGTATAAATATGTTTACAATTACTATCGTAATCAACTAGGCACGCGTCGACTTCATATTCTTTGCCTTCGTCAAGCTTTTCAAGCTTTTCTGCAATAAAAGAAATAATATGTACCATTTCACTTTTCTCTTATTATTGTCTCAGAAAAAAACAGAAGATACTTTTTAATTTATTAACGAAACTTGATTTGCAAGTGCACATGTTTAATTTTGCATTAACAGTCCTTTTGTGATATTTTCCTTTTTCCGACGGATCACCCTTTCTCTAGATTTTATTGTAACATATTCTTAGAATGATAATATATTGTTGATTGAATATGTACTAGATGATAAATATATATCTTTTACTTTCTTATACAATAAATTAATGCAATACCTTTGATATATATCGGATTATATGTCCCACAATGAACATACTCTGGGGCTGTTCCATTAACAAGTGTGTAGTATCGAACACTATCCTTAGCGAAGTACCATCCCGATGGAAGTGCAGAGTCTGATATAGCAGGTTCGGAAGACGATTTAATTACATACGAAGGTACCCTTCTAGCGACATCTGTGAGCGCATGAGCATGATCACAACTAACTGTAGCAGATGAATAATTCGACAAACCTGTTTAAAAGCAAATTTTTGGTTATTGCTCTCTACATTGATAGACTTTTAAAAATGAACAACTAGATGATGAACTTTTAAACATGCATTTTTATCACTTTTTAAACAAAAATATGAATGTGTTATCATAACTTAATTGAAAATATGTAATTTCCTGTTCTATTGAATTTTCATAATGACTTAGACTTAAAGGCATATTATCCTTCAGAAATTAATAATCCTTTTAATTCCTTGATATCAGATAAGTATGTAATAAGAATATTCAGTTTAAGCGCTCGTGTTTAAACAATTTATTTTTACGCAATACGTCACAATCTCCTACGCAGTGATCTCCCCTTATCAGTACAGAGATCTCTGCCATCACAAACATTGAAATATCCAAATTTGGATATTTATATTTTTTAGCTTTTTAATTTATTTTTCATTATTTTGTGTACTTTTGATATTTTTTTGTTAAAATATAACGGACGTAGGTACAAAAAGTTAAAAATAAAACAGAAAGAGAAAAATGACGTTAGATTTTCTATGCAACGGTCGATATTTACATTTGAATTTCGACGTTACGTCATGTGACTTTCATCATCATGTGACGTCTGTGAAGGCAGTGATTACAATTCTGCCAAGGGAGGTAATCAGTGTGAGGAGTTTGAATACGTCACAGTACTTTTGCTATGACCGGTATATCTGGCTCCTCCCCCTAACAAGTTCCTGTTCGGATGTTAAGTTCTGATTAAACAAGTTATAGGCGTCTCGTTCGCGCATGGTTAGTAGACTGGGTGTATTAACCGAGCACGCTTCTGCAAATTCCTTTCCGATCCAGTCTCCGAGCCCTTAAGCTGCCCCGAACCAACACGGAAAGATTTATGGAGCGGGTCTGAACTAACATTGCAAAAAGACTTCATTTTTTGTGTTTTTAAAGTAGCCGAAGATAGAGTCATCTTTCTTTATGATATTCCCAGTATTTTATGACAATATTAAAATTGATCTAACAAGTTGTTATTACGACCACGATTTTCAGACAATCTAGATCTATATGCCAGTAAAAAGTCAGTGAACAAGTGATCCTACTTAAGCTATTGATGATACTATTTTGCAATATAGGTTTATTGAAAATAAAAAACAATACGTTGGTTACGTCATCACTATACTTTATGACGTAACAAAAACCTAGTGACAAGTGGAGTATACAAAATAATATAAATGCCAGGCCAGTACGTATGTTATTGTATTGATGTTTATAAATAATTGACATAGAACTTTATTTACAGAACCCAGAAATGTTGATTGATTGTCTAGATCTATCTTTTGATATATGAAGCTTTGCATGTAGGGATGGTTCAAAATGGTTAGCAATGTCATTCGTAACCATTATATTAAATAAGTTGTGATAACGTAATGCGTTAACCTTGTAAATTCAGCATTTTAATTCTGGTTTCATTTTACTTTATTTTACAAATTGATGCGGCCATGCCAAACGACAATCTAACCTGTCACAAGTTCTCTGGCTGTCAATGTGAAGAGACTGGTCAACATTATGTTCTAGACAATGGCACCAGAACAGAACACAGAAGTCGGAAGGACCCGCAGAAGTTGTGATGCCTAAATCATGCTGACTGATGGTACAGATTCACCGATAGACAGGTTACTGTTTTTACAAATTATAGTATCCCGTTCCAAAATAAAAAGGGATTGTCCAATCAGTCCCTCTTTTTAGCGTAAAAATAGGGTTTTTTGAGTGTAAATATTGGAGGTATTTTTCACAAATGGTGAATACAAAAAAGAACAAGTGACTCTTTTTTCATTCAATTTAATTGAAAATTTAACTTAAAACATTGAATAAATACATACAACAAACATTTTGTTCGATCGATATATATATATTGTTCGATCGATCAAACAAAAACGGCATACTTCTTATTACTAAATTTGTTCAATCGACCGAAAAAATTTCTTTTCATAACCAAAACTTGTTAAATCAAATGAAATTTAAAACAAACATTTTGTTCGATCGAACGAACAAAAATGTTCAAACACTGTATTTGAAAATTTCTCTGTGTAACTAAAACAAGAGGGCCATGATGGCCCTTAAGTCGCTCACCTGTATATAGGCCCACGATGCGGGGCCAGTTTAAACCCCAGGGCTTTTATTTGAACAAACTTGGTAGACACCCATTAGAAGATGTTTCATGCCAAACATCTAAGGTCTAGCTCATTGGGTTTTTTAAAAGAAGATTTTTTAAAGTTTTTTCTTTACACATATAGTTAAAAATAATGACACCCCTAGGGCAGGGCCAGTTTTGACCCCAGGGCTTTTATTTGAACAATCTTTGTAGACACTTACTAGAAAAATGTTTCATGCCTAATATCTAAACTCTAGCTATTTGAGTTTTTTTCAAAGAAGATTTTTAAGTTTTTGCAATACACATATAAGGAAAATCAATGTCCCCCGGGTGGGGCCAATTTTGACCCCAGGGCTTTTATTTGAGCAAACTTTGTAGACACTCACGAGAAGATGCGTCATGCTTAATATCTAAACACTAGCTATTTGAGTTTTTTCAAAGAAGAATTCTTTTTAAGTTTTTGCTATATACACACATAAGGACGGACGGACGACGGACGGACGCCGGACGAAAAGCGATCACAAAAGCTCACCCTGTCACTTTGTGACAGGTGAGCTAAAAATCAACATTTTGTTCGATCGATCGAACAAATATATATTTTATCGATCGATCGAACAAATTTAAATTTCTTTTCATTTCCAAAACTGGTTGAGTGTATGAAAAATTAACAATAAACATTTAGTTCGATCGATCGAACAAAACTGTTCAAACACTGTTTTATGATCCCGCGACAATTGTCCTTTTTTTAATTATTTAATCATGGGCAGACTGTGTTTTAGTCCTTTATGACGAAACCCTGGAATAACAGAGTTAACACTTTATGTATTAAAAATCCAGTTTATTCTTCAATGTCCAAATTTCGAATGATTACATAAATAACATTTACAACATTAAAAAATAAATTATTATAAGAATACAATATTTGAATTAACAATAGTTTGATCTTTTAATTAACAAAATATGGGGAAATTAGCTTTATTAATAACTCACTTTGCATAAGAGGTACCATTTTAACAATTCAAATAATTATAATATTACTATTACATAGTACCTAACAAATTATATCAATTTACATATTTAGAATAGATTTTATAAACTTAAATCAATTATGAAATATAATAAAAGTACATACTTGGAATAACAGAGTTAACACTTTATATATTAAAAATCCAGTTTATTCTTCAATGTCCAAATTTCGAATGATACTGGAACAGTCAACTCTGTTAAACCATATGCAAATAAACATTTATGTATAAAATGTCCTAAGAAGGAAACATTAGGATGATTTCTCGCAAAAGTTACTATTCTTGTTTAACCATATATTTAGGCATTTAGATAAGAATGGAAAAGGAAAGGAGTAAGCTGACTGCTTATCAAGACTTGTTTGTTTAAGTGCTAATTGTCACTTATTGAAGCTTGGCTGTAAAGCTTGATGTATGTTACTTTAACAAGTCTTTGTTAGACAGCTTACATAAAATAAAAGTTAAATGAAAAACACTATTTTTAAGTAAAATTTTAACTATTTTAAAGTTACCAAAATAAAACTATTATCTTTGAAATCTACGATTTTGATATAAAATATGAAATATCTATTTTCAAATAATGATTGTGATGTTAACTATCACAATCATTCATAATGTAAAAATATGGATCATAATAACTGTATTGGAAAATTTCTCTCTCAAACTGTACAAAAAAATTAAACATTTTGTTCGATCGATCAAACAAATATATTTTTTGTTTGATCGATCGAATAAAAAGGGCAAACATCTGATTTCTTTGTTTGGTTGATCGAACAAAATTTCTTTTCAATCCAATACTGGTTTAATCAAATGAAAAATTTAAAATAAAGATTTTGTTCGATCGATCGAACAAAACTGTTCAAACACTGTATTGGAAAATTTCTCTCTCAAACTGTACTAAAAAAACCAAAACATTTTGTTCGATTGACCGAACAAGATTTCTTTTCATTACCAAAACTTGTTAAAACAAATGAAATTTAAAACAAACATTTTGTTCGATCGATCAAACAAAAATGTTCAAACACTGTATTTGAAAATCTCTCTCTGTAACTAAAAAAATTAACATTTTGTTCGAACAAAATTTCTTTTCATTTCCAAAACTGGTTGAATGAATGAAAAATTTACAGTAAACATTTTGTTCGATCAATCGAACAAAACTGTTCAAACACTGTATTGGAAAATTTCTCTCTCAAACTGTACAAAAAAATTAAACATTTTGTTCGATCGATCAAACAAATATATATTTTGTTTGATCAATCAAACAGAAAGGGCAAACATCTTATTTCTTTGTTTGATTGATCAAACAAAATTTCATTTCAATCCAATACTGGTTAAATCAAATTAAAAATTTAAAATAAAGATTTTGTTCGATCAATCGAACAAAACTGTTCAAACACTGTATTAGAAAATACAAAACATTTTGTTTGATCGACCGAACAAGATTTCTTTTCATTACCAAAACTTGTTAAATCAATTAAAACCAAACACTTTGTTCGATTGACCGAACAAAATTTCTTTCATTACCAAAACTTGTTAAATCAAATGAAATTTAAAACAAACATTTGTACGATCGATTGAACAAAAATGTTCAAACACTGTATTTGAAAATTTCTCTCTCAATCTGTACTAAAAAATTAACATTTTGTTCGATCGATCGAACAAACGTATATTTTGTTTGATCGATCGAACAAAATTTCTTTTCATTTCCAAAACTGGTTAAATGAATGAAAAATTTACAATAAACATTTTGTTTGATCGATCGAACAAAACTGTTCAAACACTGTATTGGAAAATTTCTCTCTCAAACTGTACAAAAAATAAAACATTTTGTTCGATCGATCAAACAAATATATATTTT